TAGGGCTTTCTTTCACCTTAATTGGTGCTTCTGAGATATCTTGTCCAAAAAGGTAGTGTTCATTTTATCCAAAGTATCTGTCACGGCACAATACTTATGTAAAACATGAATTAGTAGGAAGATAAAATAAAAAATTAAAGTCCACTTTTTAAACTTACTCTGTTGAATTACTATGAAAGTATCTAAACACTTTAAAATTTCTGCACTTACCCATCATGACATAAAAAATATGCAGACTGGCCCACTTTGATTCCTGGCTCCTTCCAGACTCCTGCTAAGGTAGACAGCAGCAGATTCTCTGAACTCCTAGGGAGCACTACAGGTGTCAGGCCTCTTGATTTGTGAGACATGAGTGAAAACCAAAGAATTTGAAAATACTCTTCACAGGACCAAGATCTGTCTTGCAAGGCTATTCTCATTCTGCAGACTCCGATTTTTTAATGCTAGCAACTGAATATTGGTCCGGTGGGGTCGTGTCCGAAAGCCCTCACACCGGTCCCGGTGCCACCTCTCCCTGCTTGGGCGCCGCCGCGCGAGCGCTTCCCTTCCCCCTGCGAGCGCGCGGATAATGTCTGAGAATGTCCATTTCTGGGACGCTTAGCAGCTATTATGTCGACTCGATCATAAGTCACGAGAGTGAGGACGCGCCTCCAGCCAAGTTTCCTTCCGGCCAGTACGCGAGCCCCCGGCAGCCGGGCCACGCGGAGCACCTGGAGTTCCCCTCCTGCAGCTTCCAGCCCAAAGCGCCGGTGTTCGGCGCCTCCTGGGCGCCGCTGAGCCCGCACGCGTCCGGAAGCCTGCCGTCCGTCTACCACCCGTACATCCAGCCCCAGGGCGTCCCGCCGGCCGAGAGCAGGTACCTCCGCACCTGGCTGGAGCCGGCGCCGCGCGGCGAAGCTGCCCCGGGGCAGGGCCAGGCGGCCGTGAAGGCGGAGCCGCTGCTGGGCGCGCCTGGGGAGCTGCTGAAGCAGGGCACGCCCGAGTACAGTTTGGAAACTTCGGCGGGCAGGGAGGCCGTCCTGTCTAATCAAAGACCCGGCTACGGGGACAATAAAATTTGCGAAGGAAGCGAGGACAAAGAGAGGCCGGATCAAAGTAAGTTATAAAAAGTGAGGAAATACCCAGGCCGGCCGAAGGCCAGGCGAGGGGGAGGGGAGCGAGATGCAATAAACGGCGGACAATGTGAAGGGAAAACGCGACGCGGGGCCCGGAGCGCGAGCGAGGGAGGAGGAGAGAGGAAGGAAGGGCGCAGGGAAGGGAAGGGGGAGGCCGAGGCCGCCGGCGGAGCGCCGCCCCCGCTGCCGCGAGTCCTGGGGAGGGGGGCCCGGGGCGCAGGGACCCGCTCGCCCGCTCTCCCTGGGCCCTCCCTTTCCACTCTATCCGAGGCCCGGGCCACGGAGGCCGGCGACGGCCGCGATCGGCGCTGGCGGTGGCCGGCGAGTCCGCGCGGCCAAGGGCTGGCGCCCACGGGGCCGCCCAGGACCGCGCGGCTTGGCAGAGCCGCCCGCGCCACGCGCAGACCGTAAAAGCCGGCCAAGGGGAAGGGGGCGGGGGGCTCATTAGGATTTTATTTGCGATGCAACAGCTTGGCGGAGGATCCTATCCAGGGGCTCTGGCGCAGTGGCCGCGCGCGGGGTCCGCGGACAGCGCTGGGAGGGGCGGAGAAGCCCAGGGTGCGCTGTCGGAGCCCCCACCCTGGATGCGCCGGCCCCTCCCCGGGAGCCTTCCCTGCGGCGGCCCCCTCCCCCCCGCGGCGTCCTCGCCAGGGCGTTCTCGCCCCGGCCTCTGCCGCGTCCTTTTTCTGCGCCCCCCCTCCCCCATGTTGCCCACCGCGGGGCTCCCTAGCTCTGGGCTGGGGCTGGTCCGCCTCGCGGGGAGTTAGGGAATCGCTTCCGAATTTCGGGGGCCGACCGCCAGAGTGGAGGAGACCTCCCGAGGGGACCCCGGGGAGAGGAGGGGCCAGGGAGGGGGAGAGAGAGACGGAGAGGTGGAGAACTTTGCCCTTCCTGGGTAGTTTCTGCTCACTTCTCACTCCTCCAGGGGCACCCCCGCCAGACCCCCAAGTCTGCTGCGGAGAGAAGGGGAGTCTTGCGTTTGTTGTTTTTAGGGGTCGCAGCACTCCCAAACAATAACCCACAGGATGGCAGGGCAAGTCCTTACCCCTTAACTCTTTTGGGGGCAAAGGGAGTCATTTTCCAGTCTCTGCCTGCTCTGCCACATTTCCCACCATCAGTGTGGTCCTTGGGGGCTTTGGGGAGCGAACCTGCTTGATGGAGAGACCAGAGCTGCTCCACTCCACCCAGGGTCCCTGCGGGGCCAGTCACCTCCAACCTGCCAGGTTGGATCACTAAGAGCTGCCATTTGGGGGACTCAGCTCTTTGCAGACCCTTGGCGCTTGCACCCAAACAGACCCCCCCCCACCATGCACACACACAGCCCATAGCCCAGCAAAGTCTGTCTGGAAAACCCATTATTTCGAGGCGGCCATTTGGCCAGGATCAATTATTAACAGTTTTTTCCTCTTTCATATTTAATGCGGCTGCTAGTCCCAGCCCAGGCACTCACATTAAGGAAGTAGCACAGCACATTGGTAAGCCAGGGTACTGAGTGTAGGATAAGCAAAATTGTTTCTTAAAGGTATTCAATAGTTTTTATTTGGAGAGAATGAAACTAATAGAGAGGGTGGTTGTGGTGTTTAATGAGCTCTGTTGGATTTGGCAACTTCTGTGCGTCCCAGTGTGGGAGGAGAGGTGGGCAGAAGAGAGCCTGTGTATCTTGATTTCTTCTTTTTGCCCCTCTCCGACTCAGTGTGACTGTTCTCTCTGTCCCCAGCCCTCCCCGGCAGGTAGAGTCCAGGCGTGCTGCACAGGGCTTTTGGTTCCCCTGGCTCTCCACCTTGGCACTGGAGCAATTTTGCTTCCCACTTTCCCTGAACTTGTGTTGTAAGCAGCCCGTGCACTGAGCTGTAGGCAAGGAGACACTATTGCAATCATAAGTTATCTGTGAGCCCAGCACTGCTGCGTTCCTAGGCTGCAATTGATAGATGGGTGCAATTGGGTTGTGTGTGAATGGGAGTGTGCAGGGTGGCCACGGCGCTCGGGGCAGACCCTGTGTTTGCGGTGTGTGGCAAGTGGTGTGCATTGGGGGGCCGGGGGGAGCGAGTTGCACAGCCACACTTGCCTATGGCCTGCAGGCGTGAGAGGACTCATGGCACTGGAAGCCTGAGAGGTTTGCCAGCTGTGGCTGAGCAGAAGCCCCCTGCTCACCCACCCGATGCCCCGTCTTGTTTCCCAGGGACCTAGAGTCAGGACGCTGCAGGTCAGCCACTGCTCTAGCCAGCCAGTGCTGTTGGGGGTGGCCAGGCGGCAGCCAGGGTGGAAGTCTAAGCAGTTAGGAGGCACCTGGAGAAGGCTGGAGTGAGCGCTTGAAGCAGCACAGCCTGGGGAGTGCTGGGGGGAGTCTGGGCATGAGTTTGAGTCTGTCCTGTCCCCTGGAGGTGTCTGCCACAGAGCTGGCCCCTCTCGGGAGCTGGCAGGCCCAGGTGCCTCTTCTCTGGGGCCGGGGAGCACCCTGTTGGTCTTGGTCCCTTCCCTGTCCCCTCCCTTCCCTTCTTTGATTCTGTCGCTGCTTCTCTTTCAGCCAACCCCTCCGCCAACTGGCTGCACGCTCGCTCTTCCCGGAAAAAGCGCTGTCCCTACACCAAATACCAGACGCTGGAGCTAGAGAAAGAGTTTCTGTTCAATATGTACCTCACCAGGGACCGTAGGCACGAAGTGGCCAGACTCCTCAATCTGAGTGAGAGACAAGTCAAAATCTGGTTTCAGAACCGGCGGATGAAAATGAAGAAAATGAGTAAGGATCAGGGCAAAGAGTAAAGAGGAGCCCAGCCCCCACCCCCAGCCCTCCCCAGCCCTCTCCGGCTCACTCTTATTTATGTGAAGGTTGCAAAGCCAGTGCCATCTGCAGTGTTTGAGTGAGTGGGGAGGGGAAATCTTTCTCTTCCAAGTCCCAGAGCCTCGCTCCCCTCCCTCGCCCCTACCTGACCCCCTGCTTCTCCCTGGGCACCCGCAGGAAGTTTCCTTGAGTTAGAAGGTAGAAGTAGTTGATTGCTAAGACCAGTGATGGACCACATGGGAAGAGAGACCTGAGTTTTCCTGGGAAGCTGCAGCCCTCACAGCCTGCCTGTCCCCTCCCCCGAGGCTGAGGCTGTCCACAGTCACCCAGGCACACTCCAGGTGCATAGGGCCCAGCAGACGCCCATGTATATAGAGCCTAGCGTGCACGGTAACCAGGGGGGAGACGGAGCGGGGGTCCTAGCCCTGAAGCAAAGGCACAGCAGGAAGAGGTCAGAGAGGGACCCTTGTATGAGGTGCTTCAGGCCTCAGCAGGGCCACACTGTCCCCATGGGGCAGACCCAGTGCCCAGGCCAGTAGGGTAGAAAAGGCAGAGTAGTTTTATGAAGAGCTCCCCCCTCCCCCCACTTTGTTGCAGGAAATGTTTAATTCTGCATGATGTTTTCCTCTCCTTCCAACAAAAGCAGGTCACCCTGTGGGTCCTCCAGTTGTGACAATGTGGACCCTGGTCCGTTTGTGCCCCACTTGACATAGACCGTAGCTTTCCTCCATCTCCACCGGCCCCGCATCCCTCCTTCCACATCCTCCCTAGATCGGAAGTCCACTCTGGTCAAATCCACCTTGCACCAGCGAATCAGCTGCCCCTTGTAAGAGAAACCCCTACACACACACACACACACACACACACACACCGCCCGCCCCCTGCCAGGTCGGCCCCACTATAGACAGGAACGTCAGATCAGGGGAGCCCGATGGAGAATTTAGTGTGAATTGATGCCTGAGCGCCTTTCCGGAGTAAGTTGTCGGGGACCGGGACCAGCCATGGCCCCAGCGCTCGGAGCTCGGCGTGTTTCTTCCCCTCCCGACCAACCCGGAGGAGCCCGATGCTCTGCGGCCGCCCTCCGCGCCGGCGCCCCGCTTTGCCTCCCGCTATGCGGGCCTGGATGCCGATTGGCAGCCGCCGCTGCAGCTTGCATGCCCGCGTGCAGAGCCCAGAGGCCAAACCGCACCTAAGCGGCAGGAGGAAAAGGACTCTCTGCCTCCCTTCCTCGCCCTGCGCCCCCACCCCTCCGTCCCGCGGGACTCTTCTCCCGACCCTGCACAGGGGCAGTTCCAGTAGAACTTTCTCGCTGTGTCCGTGGCTGTCGTGAAATTGTGCTTGTGTTTTGTGATTTCTTTGGGGGGTGATCGTCCCGCGTGTTTTCAGTCGTGGCTTCTGGGGGGGGGGGAGGGTGTGGGTGGGAGTGGGGTGGGTGAGGAGCCTAGAGCTCTAATTGTTTGTTTTGGAAGAAAAAGAAAAGAAAAAAAAGAACAAAAAATATATATCACTCTAGAAAAACAAATCTCTCGTGTCTTCTTTTGTGCGAGCTGTTCCCGGTCTGGCCATAGAGAGAGACTCCCAAAGTGGGATTTAGTCGTACAAGCTTGACTGTGCCCAGGTGGCCCCTAGGCAGCGCTCAGAGCTGGCGCCAGACCCAGGCCCCCAGAGCCCTGCCTGGACAGAGCGAGGACCAGGGGAGGTGCAGCGGGAGGGGAGAATGGAGCCAGGACTGGGTCTCTCTGAGTGGGCTTTCCCCCCACAGTTGCCCACCGCCTGGGGAGCCCGGAGAGGGGGGAGTAAAGCAGGCAGTGCAGGTCTTGGGAGCCCTGCGCTCTGGCCGCTGAGAGAGAGGGAGGCCAGGGAGGAAAGCAGCAGGACCCCTCCGCCTTTCCCTGCCCCCAGGTGCGAGGCTGAGGGCTTCGAGGGGGCGGAGGTGGGGGTGGGGCTCCTTAGGGTTCCTGGGGTCCCAGGCACCCCTGTGAACTAACCAGGACCTAGCAGCCTTGGTCTGAGGGCGTCGGGTCTGGTAGGTGCTGGGGCCCGGGGAGGCAGCACCCAAAGGCTGGGAGAGGGCATTGCACGTGGAACAGAAGGAAAATTCCCTTCCCCAGCGGTTCCCGGGATTCAAGTCGATTTCAGCTGGCACCCTTGAGTCTGTTTCAGAAGTCGCGTCCCGCCTTCAACTCCTGGCTGCCCTGCCTCTACCGCGCCCGGCAGCAGGATGCCGGCCGGCTGTGCCTGGCGCTGGGCGTGCTCCCTCGGCGGCCTCCTGCTATGCTCTCCCGGGGCTCCCGTGGCCACCCCGCAGCCGGTGCGGACCCTGCGGGCCCGGGCGGAGGTGGGGACAGAGCCAGGCAGGAGGCAAGGAGCCTGTCAGCGAAAAGGCCAGCCTACCCTGCTCTAACGAAACGATGAAGCGACGGGAGAGTGAGCAGGAGGCGGGACGCAGCCTGGCTTCCCGAAGGGCGGCCTGGGTCGGGGGCCGTCCAAGGAGGTTCCGAAAGGGACAGAAAGGGATGCGTTTCTGCGGCGAATAGGGACCAGGCGTCCTCCCTGCCCTGGGTCCCCGGGCCCGGCTGGTGCAAGAGCGAGCCAAGAAGGCCGATTTCAGCCCAAAGGAACCAGGGGAAGGAAAAAAAAAAAAAAAAAGTGAGGCTGGAGCCCGGCGGAGCGCAGCGGGGTAGGGGGCCTCCGGCGGCGGGGTCGGGGTCCCGAGCTGAGGCGGCTTCCCTGAAAGGCAAACAAAGCCGAAGATGCGGAGGCTCGGAAGCCGGAGATGGGGAAATCGGCTGTCATAAAAGAGAGCGAGCAAGCGAGCGAGCGAGGGAGCGAGCGATTCAGAGAGGGAGGCCGGGAAAGTGCGCGTCGGAGAGAAGCCGGGAGAGGAATTCGATGCCGTGCGCGCGGCAATAAAAGAATATGACCGCTATAAAAGTTTATAGCGTATAAATTTCTGAAGGTTAAGAAACTAAACAGCAGCAAAGCAAACAGTGAGGGGAAACTTTCCGGAGCTGAGCGAGCCACACACAGCTGGGCCGGGGCTTGGGGCCTGGGGCTGGGAAGGGGGCTCGGCCCAGGGCTTCCGGGGCGGAGGACGGGGGCAGAGAAGGGAGGCGGGCAGGGAGACCACGTTGTCCAGGCCGGTGCTCGGAGGTTGCAGTTCCGACCCTGGTCTTTGTTCTTCACGCCTCTGCAGAACCCAATTTCACGAACCCAAGCCCCCACACCCCACCCCCGCACACACACGCTTGCGCCCACAGGCTCGGCGGGGCCATCTCTGGCTCCTTCTCCCCCGGCCCTATGGAACCCTCCCCGGCCTCCCTCCTCGCTGAAAAAGTCCTCAACTGTTTCTCCTGGGGACTTGAAGCCACCGTTTGAGGCTTGACAAGTGCTCCCATCCCTTGTTTTCAGGCCGTGAACGGCCCCACTGCTCGGGGGTCTCCGCAGAAATTAAGGCCCAGGGGGAGGCTGGAATAGAGGTGCAAGGGGAAAAAAAAAAAGCGCAAGGCCTTGTCTTCCTCCTCTGCCCCCTCCCCTCCTCCCCTGTCTGTCCCTTAAGCTTATCTGCACAATTCCACGAGTCATTTGCAGATTCCCATCCCTCCTCCAGCACCCGTTCTGGTTTCCCTCCCTCTTTTGTGCTAATAATGAAAGTTTTTCTGGCTGGGTGATGAGGCGGCTGGCTCTGGCGGAACCGGCCACGCCGGGGACAGGGGTACTGTTTTCGGCCGCGCGACCGCTAGATGGCATCCTTGCTCCACGCGAAAATCCCCGGCGAGCCGGCTGCATTCGCCCGCGGCTCCGCGCCGCGCCTCGGCCGGCTCCGATTCACGAACCAAGAGCTATCAAAAGTCATGAATAATTTGCACGTAATAAAAATATAGGGTTCGTTACGGCCTCCCCCCACCCCATTTCATAGATTTCAGGTACAGTGGTGTTCCCCTCCCTTCTGCAAGGGTCAATTTTCTGATTTCCCCCCTCGAGGAAGGGTTCAGTGCTGCTCCCACCCAGTCGCTGTGCTCGGTGGGAGCCACAAACGCGTGGAAACGGGGGAATAATGGGTCCAAATCCAAGGGAACCGAGTCGGGGAAATGAGATTTTCCATGCAGGGGGGCGAAAGCTGTGTCTGCGGCTGCGGGTGCGCGGGTCAGGTGAGCGCGGTCCGCCGGCGGCAGGAGGCGGATGGAGAGGCAGCCGCTGGGGCGGGCTGCCCACGCCAGCGGGAGACTGAGCCCGGTGAGCCCGCCCGCGGGGGGCCCCCAGCCCGGGTGGGGAACGGAGCCTTGGCCCGCGCTGCGGCTCGGAAGTGAGTGGGGCCGGCTGTGCACCGGTGCGAGCTGCGGAGCCCTTTGTGCGCGTCGGGGTCGGGGTCGGGTCCGGGCCGAGGGCGCTCTGGGCAGGGGGGTCCCCTCCCCGGGGCGGCCAAGTGAGGGGCGGCTCGGACATCTTCGGAGGCTCTGTGAGCCCCGGGTTGGGCCGCCCAGCCCCCGCAAAATGCGCGTGATCAGGACGGGTGTGGGGGCAGACGGGGCGCCGCATCGTCCCCAGCCGCGCGCTGCTTCCAGGTGAGGCTGCGGCTCCCGCGCGCTGGGCCCTGGCCCTGGCCCCCGGCCTGCCCTGGGCCCTCCGGGAATCAGCAGCCAGAGGCCCGGATTCCAGGGCGTTTTTCGTTCGGAGACCCGAGCTCGGGTCTGGGTTCCCAGTCCTCCGATCCCTGTCTCCCTCTGCAACCAACCTGATCCCTGTCTCCCTCTGCAAGCAACCTGCGGGAGAAGCAGGTACCCCGCCCCCACCCCAGGTACCGGGCCGCAGCCTCTCCACGTCCCGCAGCGCCTCACGCACAGAGGCAAGCAGAGTTTCTTCTCAACTCGAGTTTCTCTAATAAATCTGCGCTCCGTTGGGTGTTTATAAATTATCTCCTCGCTCTTTCTTGTTTTTTCTTGTAATAGAAACATTTTCCTTCCATCAGGACTTTTTCTGGCCGGAGTAGGGATGATTTAGAACAAACCACTGAATTTCTACCTGGTCGGTGAGTCCTCAGATCGTGACCGCAACCCCCACCCCACCCCACCCCGACTGGCCCCCGCGCTTGAGAAAAACCTTGGCTTCCGCAACTTCAAACTCTGCCTCCAGCAGCCTCACTGCCCCTTCGGCCACGCACGGAAAATTCCAGACCCCGCTTTTCTCCATCTCCTTTTCTCCCTTCTGCCTCGCAGTCAGCCCAGCTCTCCCTCTCCCTCTTCCTTGTAGCCCCTCTGCCATTCTCACCATTTGTTTGGAAAGGACTGACTGACCCTACCAGTCACTGCCTAGGAAAGGGTGCTAGCTTCATTTTTATATGGGTGGAGGCCTGTGAGGCCCCCCCAAAGCCACTGTCTCCCCCCAAAACAATGGTTGAATGTGTTCATGAAGCCTCTGCCTTTGTTACTATTCTCTCTCCGTGTCTCTTTCTCTGTCTCCCTTTCCCTCCCCTTCCCTTTCCTTCTCTTCCATCCCTTTTCCTTCCCTGATCAAGTACTGCGGGAGACCGCCAGTTCCACCCCCCAGCCTGGCCAGCAGCCTCTCAAGACCCTAGGCAAGGGGCACGGACACAGCCCGCACCTGAGCAGTTCGCTTCCGGCTTCTGGGTCTCAGGCCTCAGGTCCTCTGATGTGCAGAGAGAGCCAGGTTGAAGGAGGGACTCACGGGACAGGAGAGGAGGCAGCTCAGAGGCCTTGTCATGTCCAAATCCCTTCTACTCCAAGGTCACATTAGATAGTGACACTGGCTCAACAGTCTTAGAGACATTGGGGACCAATAAATGTCCCCCAACCCCTCACCTTGTAGTCACTGCCTAAGGCAGGAGAGGCCAGGCAGCACAGCTTGGGTGCCCAACACAGCAGCCTCCAGCCTCCAGCCCCATGCCCTTCCCTCCTGGTGATGTGTTGGTGGGACAGGCAGTGCCCACTCACAGGGGACAGTGGGAGGTGTAGGGGGTTGTCTGGGGGAAGGCTGGGAGCCCAACTGGGTTACATTCCTGGGTCCCAAGGCCTGGATGCAGGTGCAGGGCAGGCCCATGGGTTATCATCCGGTTGGTGGCATCAGCCCCCTGTCCCCTCACACAAAGTTTGCCCCCAAAAGTGCTGGCTGGAGTGGAGCACCTTCAGGAGACACCCCCCCCCCCCGTCTGCTTAGTGCTCGCCCCAGGAAGCCGAGACCCCAGGACACTGCAGAAGGGGCAGCTGCCAGGCAAACCCTGCTGTCCTGCTCAGTGCCTCCCCACTGCCCTGAAGAGGCTGCTTTCTCCCGGTCATCCCTCCCAGGCCCTCTCCAGCCCCTTCTCCAGGAAGGATGCTGGCTTATTTGTTTAATGAGGGCAAGTTGTGAGAGTGGCCTGGGCAGTGTGGACAGGGGCCAGACTAGGGGGGAGAGAGAGAGAGAGAGAGAGAGAGAACGAGAGAGAGAAGAGGCAGGTGCTTGCCTCCTGGAAGGATGGGGAAATCTCAGGAAAGTCACCGTTTGCGCCGAAAAACCCCATAATGGTTCTCATTTCGGCTCCGTCACCCCCACGGTGCTGCAGTCGGGCGGCGGGGGCCATGGAAGCTGCAGTTTTATAGCTGTAGAGGAAAGAACTCGTAAAATGCTAACAGCTTTTATGCGCTGCGGCATAAACAACAGACTCTGGCTTTATTGCGTTTTATAGTTTGTTAAAGAGTTTACAGCCGTTTTTGGGGGGCCGGTTACCCAGCCAATTCCCTCTGCACGATAGTTAAACCTTTATCAATAATAAGGAAATTGATCATTAAAGCTTTAAATATGACTACCTCGTTTGTTTGAAAATATGTTTAGGAGAGGAAGCTGTATGATTTGATAACTTGTATTAAAATACCAATTACATTTATAGGACCTTTTAAAACTCGGCGCAATTAAACCGTGTTCTTTTACATTTTTCCGAAGCGACCCTGACATTTAGAAAGACTCCAATTGCCTCGTTAAAATCGCGAAATTAACAGCGTGCCTACGCCTGGCGCGTTGTGTATGTGCGTGCCCATGTTTTTTCCGACTCCCCCACATCAGTCTTTGGGGGTGGTCTGCGAAGGTATTTGATTTGTTGTGTGGTGAGAGATATCTCATTAATGTAGGTAGTTAAACAGATTTAATCCGCATTCATTCTCCCTCGCCCCCTCTCCCTCTCCCCTCTCGCTCCCCCTCTCCCTCTCTGTCTCTCTCTCTGTCTCTCTCACTCTCTCTCTCTCTCTCTCCCTGGGTGTTTGTTTCCTTCCCCTCCTTTTTTTTTTTTCCACCCGCTCTTCACTCCCTGGCGTTCTCTCGCTCGCTCGCTCTCGCTCTCACCCTCGCTCTGCGTTCTGTCCGGGAGGAGTACGGAGAAGCCAATAGGATGCGGGGTCTCTAATGGATGCAAATGATCATGAAAAGACAGTGCAAAATATGAAACAACTCATTTGCAGGGAAGTAAATCACCGAAAACTGTTTATGAACTGGCACCCCTTCTTGGAAATGTAAAGCGAGGACCTCTTTAAGTGGCGGTATATTTTTGTGTGGGGGGTGGGGGGTGGGGGGAGGGCGCGCAAGCCGTGGCTGCCATGCAAGCTTAGACTTTTGGAGGCTTCTCCGTCTTTCTCTATTCCTGGAAATCACAAAAAGTGTGGCGGCTTCGAGATCTTCGCCTTTTCTTTCTTTTCTTTCTTTTTCTTTCTTTTTTTTTTTTTTCCTCCTCCCTTTCCCTCTCCTTTCCTGGCGAGGGTGACCAGGAGCCGGCGAATCCGCGTTTTTTTTCTCTCTCTCTCTCTCCCTCCCTTTCCCCCTCCCCACCCCCTCCCCAACAGCCCCCAACTACAGCCTCCGCCGCCGCCGCCGCCTCAAAATTCAATAAAATGAGCTCTTATTTCGTCAACTCACTGTTCTCCAAATACAAAACCGGGGAGTCCCTGCGCCCCAATTATTATGACTGCGGCTTCGCCCAGGACCTGGGCGGCCGACCCACCGTGGTGTACGGTCCCAGCGGCGGCGGCAGCTTCCAGCACCCGTCGCAAATCCAGGAGTTCTACCACGGGCCGTCGTCGCTGTCCACGGCTCCCTACCAGCAGAACCCGTGCGCCGTGGCGTGCCACGGGGACCCGGGCAACTTCTACGGCTACGACCCGCTGCAGCGCCAGAGCCTGTTCGGAGCGCAGGACCCGGACCTGGTGCAGTACGCAGACTGCAAGCTCGCCGCCGCCAGCGGCCTGGGCGAGGAGGCCGAGGGCTCGGAGCAGAGCCCGTCGCCCACACAGCTCTTCCCCTGGATGCGCCCGCAAGGTGAGCCCGCATTGAGGCCAGCGGGGCGGGAGGCGCCGGGGAGGGCCCAGGGCCGGGCCGGGCGCCGGCAGGCCAGGCACATTTCCTCCAGCTACTGGTCCCACCGCCTCCTGCATTTTCCTTTTCTGTTTTCTCTCTCCTTCCTTCCTTCCTTCCTTCCTTCCTTCCTTCCTTCCTTCCTTCCTTCCTTCCTTCCTTCCTTCTTTTTTCCCTTTCCTTTCTTTTTCCTTTCTTCTCTTCCTTTCTCTCTCTCTCCCTCTCCCTCTCGCTCTCTCCCTCTCTCTCTCTCTCCGTTTTTTGTTTCCCTTAGAGGGGGAATCGCTAAGCGACATTTCCTGAATCCATAAACCCCTCACCCTGCCTTACTTTGCTTTCTCCTCATCCTTTTTTCCTCTTTTACTGTTTTATGGGGTTAATGGAGGGGGGGGTGGCAGTGGGGGCGCTCAACTTTTGCACTTCTCAATTGCTTTATAGTTTAATTACCCTGCAGAAACTTTTCTCCTGGAGCAGAGGCTCTGGGGGGCTTTTAAAGGTGGGTCCATTCGTCCCCACCCCGGCTTTTTTATTCTTATGTGTCCCCCCCCCACATCCTCCCTTCTAAAGTTTATGGCGCTTTTAATAGATTTGAACCCCCGCCCCCACCCAACTCTGGGGCTGGTTGTCCAAGGAGGGGGCGCCCCCTCTCCGGCCCCCTTAGATCCAGCGGCTTCGGATCCCCCTCGTCCCCCGCACGCCCCCCCCCCCGCGCCTCCACTGACCGCGGCCTCTCGGCGCCCCCCTCCCCGCCCTCGCACCGGGTAGAAGGTCCCCTGCCCTTATTATACTGGTCTCCTAGGCTGGTTCACGAATTTTCCACCCTTCCCCGTCTCTGCCCCCTCCCCCGCCCTCCCCTCCCCTCCGTCTCGCCCCCTTTCCCCCCTTTTCCCAGACAGCCGCCGGGAAGCGCAGGAGGAGCCCGAACAGACCTTACAGGCGGCTACCAAGACCCTGGAGATGAGAGAAAGAAGTTCCTTATTTATATCCCTATTTTATCTCCACAAGCGGGCGAATCAGAGGTGTCGCATGCCGCTGGAGACTAACCAGAGGAGACAGGTCAAAATCTGGTTCCAGAACCGGAGGATGAAGTGGAAAAAAGAGAACAACAAAGACAAGTTCCCCAGCAGCAAATGCGAGCAGGAGGAGCTGGAGAAACAGAAGCTGGAGCGGGCCCCGGAGGCGGCGGACGAGGGCGACGCGCAGAAGGGCGACAAGAAGTAGGCTCCAGCCGGGACTGCCAGGCCCGCGGCCGCCCGCACGCCCGCCGGTCCCGCCCGCCCAGCCCGAGCGCGCCCGGCCCCGCGAGCCAGCGGGCCCGGAGCCGGGCCTCCCACTGCAGCGACCCCGCCGCGCCAGTCCCCGCTAGTGGTAGTTTCTCGTAATAGCTTCTGTGTGTGAGCTGCCGTGGATCCTCTTCCCTTCTCTCGGGCCCCTGGGGGGGGGGGTAAAAAAAAAAAAGAGAGAGAGAAGGATTTTAAGCAAGGACTCCCTCGCCCCGCGAGGGCGAGCGGCCGCGGCCCGGCTGAGCCCCCCACGCCCCCGCCCCGTGTAAAAAGCCTCCTTGTGCAATGGTCTTTTTTTTCCTCTAAACGTGCTTCTTTGTAATGACCGAGGTACCGATTTCTGCTAAGTTTCCCCAACAACATGAAACTGCCTATTCACGCCGTAATTCTGTCTCCCTTCCTCTCTCTTTCTCTCTCTCTTTCTCTCTCTCTCTCTCTCTCTCTCTCTCTCTCTCCCTGCCGCCCCCACCCCCAGCTCGCTGGCTTTCTCACTCTCTCTCGCTTCTCTCTTTTCCCTCCCCCTCCTTTGGTTTGACAATTTCGTCTTAAGTGTTTCTCAAAAAGAGGTTACTTTAGTTAGCATGCGCGCTGTGGGCAATTGTTACAAGTGTTCCTAGGTTTACTGTGAAGAGAATGTATCCTGTATCCGTGAATTGCTTTATGGGGGGAGGGAGGGCTAATTATATATTTTGTTGTTCCTCTACACTTTGTTCTGTTGTCTGCGCCTGCAAAGGGCGGAAGAGTTACAATAAAGTTTACAAGCGAGAACCCGAGCCGGGCCTGGCCCGCGCTGCTCATTCACTCTCCCGGCGCCTTGCAGAGCCGGGGGGAGCCGGTCACCAGGCTCCTGCGCCGGGCGAGGCCGGCCCCGCGCGGAGGGGGCGGGGGCCAGAGGCAGGTGGTACGAGTCCCCGGGCCCAGGGGCGCAGGGGGCGAGGGAGGCGGCCGCGCGTGATTGGCGGAGAGCGCAGGGAGGGAGGGGAGAAACCCCCTCCCCTCGCGTTCCGAGGCAGCCCAGCCCGGGAGACCTCGGCACCCAGGCCTAGCCGGGGAGAGGCGCCGAGGCTGGTGGCTGCGTCCCCTGCCACCCCCTCTTTGTTTCGGTGCGCGGCCTCCCGGGGAGGCCGCGGGGCGGTGTGTGTGTGTTTGTAAAGGTGGGACGCGGGGCTGCTGAGCACGCTATTTTTATTTCTCTCGGACTCCGGTGGGGGGAGCAGGGGGGGAGGGGAAGGGCTCGTCGCCACCTCTCCCTGCCCGGGACTTGGCCACCTCCGCGCCGCTCCGAGGCGGTGGCTCGCCTCCTTCCTTCCTTGGCTGCCTTTGCTTCGCCGGCAGCCACGCTCGGCTGGGGCATCCGGGAACCGGGAGAGGAGCGTGCCTGGGCCGCCCTCCTCCCTTCCTCTCTCTCCCCACCCCCACCCCCACCTTTTCCTTTTTTTTTTTTTTTTTTTTTTCCCAAGCCACCAGAAATCGCAGTGTCCGACGCCCGCAGGCCGGAGCCCATGCCTTGGGAGCACCTACGCAGCCTGGCTCCGTCTGCCCTACGCAGCCTGGCTCCGTCTGCGCCCGCGTGTCTGGGGCACTGAGACAGCCGTGAGGCCAGGCTCCCCTCGTTCCTCACCTTGGGAGAACCCGACCGGCTTCCCCTATGGGCCCCACCGGGCCGCGCCGGCCCGCGTTAATAAAGACCCGACCTGCCCGCAGCCGGCCGCGCGCGTCCCGCTCCTGCGTTTGTGTCTGGCTCGGGGCCGCGCGGGGGAAGCAGGCGGGGGGCGGCAGCGCCGGCCGCTCGGGGGTTATTTATTTTCCCTTCCACTCCAGCCCTTCCTTCCCGAATCTCGCTTGCAAGCTGCCCCCGGCCCGCGGGGGTCGGCAGCGGCCCCTGAGCCCCCAGCCCCAATCCTCAGGGCCCGGCTCTCCCATTCATTATTGATCATATTTTATAAATCCAACGCCACACAATTTTTTCCACATTACCGGGAGCCGTGGGGAGGCCGCCGGGCCATTGGAGGAAGGGCTGTCACGTGGGCGGGGTCACGTGGTCCGGGGAGGAAAAAGGGGGTCCTTTTTGGTGTAAATCTGGACTCTAATTCTGTAATATATCAAGGAATCTCGTAAAACCGACACTAAAACGTCCCTGCCTACAAATCATCCGGCCAAATTATGAGTTCATTGTATTATGCGAATGCTTTATTTTCTAAATATCCAGCCGCAAGTTCGGTTTTCGCTACTGGAGCCTTCCCCGAACAAACTTCTTGCGCGTTCGCGTCCAACCCCCCGCGCCCGGGCTATGGAGCGGGTTCGGGCGCCGCTTTCGCCGCCTCGGTGCAGGGCTTGTACCCCGGCGGGGGGGGCATGGCGGGCCAGGGCGCGGCTGGCGTCTACGCGGCCGGCTACGGGCTCGAGCCGAGTTCCTTCAACATGCACTGCGCGCCCTTTGAGCAGAACCTCTCCGGGGTGTGTCCCGGCGACTCCGCCAAGGCGGCAGGCGCCAAGGAGCAGAGGGACTCGGACTTGGCGGCCGAGAGTAACTTCCGGATCTACCCCTGGATGCGAAGCTCAGGTAACGCCGCGCACCTAGCAGTCCCGAGCCGCAGCGGCCGGGGCACGTTCCCCGCAAGGCGCCCCCTTCCGCGTCCAGCGCGCTCCGGGCCTGGGGACGCGGCAGCCCCTGGGCTCCCACCCCCACTCGTGCTCGGTGCTCTGAGGCTCGCTCTGCCGCCCCCGGCGCGGATCGCTCTTCGCCGACGCCGTGGCGCTCCGAGCCCCCAGCCCGTCCCCCACCCTTCCTCCTGGCCTTTTAGCTTTAAATATTTATCAGCAGCGCCGGCACGGGCTGGAGACGAGGCCGTTTGTCTTGCGAGGGAAGGCTGGGGTTTGCAGAGAATAGCCATTAGGGTCTCCCCCACACACACCCCGCCCTCCTCCCTTCCCCGCCCGGGATCTCGGCTCTGGGTGTGTCCCCCAGTCCCTGCTCGGATCAAGTATGGGGGAGGGGGCCGTAGCGCAAAGCCGCTCTCCCCTCCCCATTCCTTCCCAGCCAACCCCGCTCCCCCATTATTCCCAGCAGGACAGTTAGAGGTGGGCTCTGGAGGCCTGACGGGGAGGGGGGGGGGGGTGCAGAGGAGATGAGGACCCAGCCAGGGGCACAGAGCCAGAGGCAGGTGGAGGGAGGGGTGCTGAGGCCAGGGGAGATGAGACCTGAGGGGAGGGCAGCAGCCTGGTGGGAGTAGAGTTGGCTCCCCCAGGTGCCTTTCCCAGGGCTCACGTGCACCACTGGACAGCTGGCCAAGGACTCCGGAGGTAACACCCTATAGGAGGGCACATCTCTTAGGGACTTCAAGGAGCCAAACCAAGCCTTGGGGAGTACAGGCCACCCAGCATTGCAGCTGCTGCAGGAAACCCCAAGAAGCCAAGGGTCCCATGGGGGATCTCCTGCGAAGCCTGGCCTAGACTTCCTTGTCCACCGTGCCAACACAGGTGGACTTGGGGCCCAGCTCCATGGCCCAGAAGGCCCAAGACTTGTGGTTTGAGGCTCCCAACCCAGGCAGAGCTGGTGGCCAGGAGATGCCCGGCTCTCCCCCGCCAGCAGTATTGGTGGTCACGGTTCCTGTTTAACCTCCTCCATAATTTAACTGCCTTTCCAGTTGATTTATCAAAGCCCCAACTTTTCTGCTCATAAACATTTCAGCTTGGCTTTTATCTTATTTGAAAATTAGGCCCCTGGTCCCTCTCCCCGGAGTCTCCTTCCCAAGAGGGCTGGCATGAGCACCTCCCCCAGGTCTCCTTAAGGTTCTGGGCCTAACCTGAGCATTGCCATGGGCGCTTCAGCACCCACCACCCAGGTACTTCCCGGTCCGCCCTCAGCCAGGTGGCTGTCTCTCCTGCTCTCCCCCTCTACTTTCCTGGAGGCCCAGAGATTGCTCCGGGGAGCTGAGCTGTGTGGGCGGACCGGCCAGCCTGGCCCTGCCTGACCCTTCTTGGCTCACTGGAAAACACAAGAGCACAGCTGCTCTCAGAGGGACTTCCTGCTCCAGGGGACTCTGCAAATTCTCACCTCCACCTCATTCCACAACACAGGGGAAGAGGGGCTGAGCCTGTGAGACCCCTTTGTCTCCTGGCACAATGTCCATTACCCCGTACCCCAAAGACTGTCAGAGTCAGCATCCGGAGTGGAGAGGTCTGGGGTCCCTGCTGCCACACAGGAACACGGACCTCTCTCCCTTCAGCTCACATTGGCCCCCTTAGGAGCAAAGCCTCCTGGTTTCCAAGCCTCTGACGTTGCAGGTCGAAGCAGACTGCCTGGCTGGAAATTGGGCAGGATAGCCTGGGGAAGCCTGCAGAAAGGTGTGCATATTGAAGGAAAAGAGTGGCACCTGGGGTTTGGGCTGGGGTCTGAGAGGGGAGAAGGCCGTGTAGCGAGAGCCTGGGCTGCTTCCTTCCAGTCACGAACAGGGTCCCGGAGCAGGGCAGGCAGCTTTGTGGAGTTCTCTGAGCCCACTGTTTCTTCTTTAAATGCCGTGCCAGGGGCTGACCGCAAGCGGGGCCGCCAGACCTACACGCGCTACCAGACGCTGGAGCTGGAGAAGGAGTTCCACTACAACCGCTACCTGACGCGGCGGCGGCGCATCGAGATCGCGCACGCCCTGTGCCTCACCGAGCGCCAGATCAAGATCTGGTTCCAGAACCGGCGCATGAAGTGGAAAAAGGAGAACAAGTCGGCCGGCCCGGGGGCCGCTGGGCACGACAAGGCAGAAGCAGAGGAGGAAGAGGAGGAGTGAGAGACAGAGAAAAGGCAGACGAGAGAGAAGAGGAAAGGAGAGAGGGAGCCGCCCAGCTCTGGGAATCGAACCAGGAAATTCAAATCCAATAGGGAAGAAAAAAAAAAGCACCTGTATTTAAAGGAAAACAATTTTAGAGAAAGGTGAAACGTTGATTCCTCAACACTGTAAAAAAAAAAAAATACTACCTATAGGAAAGGCTGTCGGGTTTGTTTTTGTACAAATGGGAAGGACCTTATCTACCTGTTCTGTAGCTTTCTGGAATTTGCCTCCGCTTTTCTATGTTGCTATTGTAAGGTCTTTGTAAACTCTTGCTGTTTTGTAAGCCCCCTTTGATGCTGTCTTTGTGGACCATGGGTCTGGACTAATGTATGTGGCTCCCCACTCTTCCCAGCCTCCCCATCCCGTAGTGACACTGAAGCAGCCTTAGGGAGCCCCAAGAACCCACCGACTGGCCCGCCTGTCCCCGTGACCCTGACTGCAGCCCCTTCACCCGCCAGGCCCCTCCTCTTTACATTCTATGTGTATCTGATGGATGGAAAAATAAAATGCAATTAAAAATAAGCAGAAGCCATATTTTCTTTGTCTCCCTAGGCCAGGGAGAGTTCAGGATTAGTGGTGGCTGAGTGAGAGCCCCTCCCCGATGGACCCATGTCCTCCTGTGCTGGACTTGCTGTTTTTCCTTGTGCCCCCTGCTCTGGGGGGGTCCCCACTAGCGAAGTCCATTACCACACACACACACATTCCCCTTACACTCTTTCGCACACATGGACAAAATGGAATGCATAAGATCACTGTATGTACAGGCTGCCATCACTTCTAGATAATTCCACCGCCACAGTCACAAATAAACCCCTATTCCTGTGTTCATAAGAAAATGCACAGGCATTCAGAGTCCCCACTGCACACTCAGAATATGTGGGTTCACATTCACACGCACTTGGGACACAAGGAGAAATACCACCGTGCACTCGCAGGTCGGCTTACACACACACACACAGACTCACATTTGTCCCCCCAGGGCCCACAGTACGGTCAGGCATACAGGCTCCCCAAAACAGAAGACAGGAAACCCCACGGTTGCACGAACCCTCTTCCTTATACAAGCCTTCAATTCAGGCTGCAGATCGGCGCGCCGCCGCCCAGACACAATCGCAAAGCTGTAGTCTGAAAGGCTAGGCCCTGAGCGAAGGAAGAGCGGAAGGAAAGGCGAAGCGAACCCCAAACCACCGCCACCTCTGGCGCGGCCGTGGGGAGAGGCCAAGATCGCGAGTGGAGGCCTCGCGGCCGGCCCTAGGACAGCCTCCCAGGCCGGGCCGCTCACGGCTCGCCGCTCGCTCGCTCCCTCGCTCGGCAAACATCGCCAGCCAGAGCTGTTCTTTCATTTTATTGCAACTTATTTTAATTTCAATTATTTTAATTTATTTCATTCTAAATTGACGCAGGCGACCCCAATAAACATTTTTAATGGCGGGGAAAAACGAGTCCCCGGAGCGGAAGCCCCGGCGGTGAGGATTTGCCGGGCTGGTGCGGCAGCGTCCGGGCAGCGCCGAGTCTGGCCGCGCCGCCTGCCCGGGCTTCCTCCGCGCCTATCTGCCCTCTCCCCGCGTCGCTGACGACCTGGGACCTTGTTGAAAACACAGAGAAAGACCCCTAAAAAAGGAAACACATTTTTAGAGAGGTTATTTCGTTTCCTGCATTTGGACGCTGCTAGCTCGAATCAAAATTCGGGGGGTCTTTTAGGGAACATGGAAAGCAGGGGTGATTTTTTGTGTGACGCCAAAACACCCCCTGATCGCGGGACAAAAACCGAAGCACTGCCGCGTCTATGCAGGTAGATCTCTGGAGTTGGTATTTTAAATATTTATTCGATTACAAACCCTGGACTGTTTGAATTTTTACACCAGGTATCTGACAGAAAGGGGGGAGGATTGGTTTTAGGAGAATCTGTTTAATTTGAATTTGTAAGTAAAAGGACCTGAAACCTACTGCTCCCCCTCCCCCAGAGACCCCAGAACCCCGTGGAGCTCCCCTGGAGCGCTTTCAGGAAGGCTGGACAGGCCCACGTTTGGGCGGGAGGGCCCAGGGGCTGGCTGTTTCCTCTCCCAGTGTCTGGGGTGCAGAGCCGGAATCCTGTCTGGGACTCACCGCCCTGGCCTCTCTCCAGGCCACCTTTCCCCCTGGGGCCAAAACTAGGCCCTAGGGGGTCTTGGGCCTCCTTAGCCGCAGAGCTGTGAGCCTCACAGGTGGGGGGATCTCCCCAGCTCTAGGGCTGGGAGTGAGGGGGCAGGTTCAAAGGGTAGGGGGGACAGTGAGGCACACGGAGCTCTGGCCCCACTGCCTCTCCCGCTTCACCTCCGAATTGCTTCAGAACAGAACCTACCCCAGGAGCTGGGGGGAATTTTTACTAGAAGAGAGGGGCAGAGCTCCTGGGGAAAACCGGGAGGTTCCGAAAAGAACCCCCTTCCCAGCTGGAGCCTGGTGGCTTCTCCGCCCCGATTCCCTGCACCCCAAATTCCACCCCTTGCCAGATCGGGGCTTCCCCAAAAAGAGAGAAAGAGAAGAAAAGAAGATGGCGACTGAGAAAAAGGTTGCTGGTGGAGCAGCCATGAAGAAATGCAATAAATTCCTTGTTGTTTTATGAAAATTTACAACTTTGTGATAGAAGTTTATGAGTGGTTGAATCCAGCGATTGGCCGGCGCCGGTCATGTGGCCGGGCGATCGTGAACATGAACTTTTTATCATTTCCCTGGTGGTTATAATGCAGCATTCTTTTGGACACCACACCTAGGTCGGAGCACTGTCGTCCTTCAGGGTTCCAGCCTCTTGATATTTTTATACTTCAATATCGGCTCGATAGAGCAAAGGAGAGAGAGAGGAAGAGGGGGGAGAGCAGAGCAGAGAGGGAGAGAGAGGGAAAGAGGGGTGGGGATTACACAAAAGACAGAACCAAAAATAATTTTGATTCCTAAGTTATTTTGGTGGCTGATCGGGGATTTTAGTCACCATGAAGGGGAAATGGACAATCTGCCCAGGACCACAGCCTGATACCATTTTTCAAAGCCAGTACTTACTCTATTTTCTATGCAAAATGTCAGAAAAGCAAAACGCCCTCTCTCCCAAGTCAGAGAAGGGGGCACGACGGCTCTCAGGCTGGGACAATATTATCTGCAAGCTGAAGAAGAAACTGAATGCTCTTTTTTTTTCCTTCCCTCCCCACCCTTTTCCATCCGGAGAGGAAAAAAAAAACCACAGTCGGCAAAGGTAAGAGAGATTCTACAATTCTCTTTCGGTTCTTGTGCATCGCTTTTGTAGGGGGTGGGGCTTGGGGTTCCCCCTCCTCCCCCGACTCCAAGAAGGGGCTGAACCCCACCTCTGGGTGCTGCGGGGAGAGGCTTCCCAGGAAATTCGGAGTCGCCCAGAGGGGGTGGCTGCTTCCTGGAGGGGGAACCACGGCAGGGAAGATGGGAGGAGGAACCGAAGGGGCCCCGAGGCCCGCTCTAAGTCGCCTTTTTAAGCTGGGAGGAGGCTCGAGCTAGGGGTCTCTGAGAGGATGGGGGTGTCTGGGCTTCACGGCGCCCACTGGGAGAAGCCATGGCTTGGGCCTCTGTGGGGCTGACCCCCTGCCACCTCCCCTGCCGGGGCGCAGGTCTCTTGCCCGATGCGGGTGTCGGCGGTTTCCCTGAGAGCACAGGCAGGAGGGGCGGTGGCGCCGAGGGACGTCCTGGTCTCTGTGGGGCCTGGAATCTCGGCGGGAGCTGGAGAGACACAGAAAGAACAATTCACAGAGAGCAATGCAGTGCTCACCGTCTCCCCCTCGGAGACGCTCCTCGCGATTAAAGGACCGTGGGTGGAGGCGTCCGCAGGCTGCGCGGAGGCGTGCCCGGGTTCCTCGCCCCATTCTGCGGGGAGGCAGTGGTGTGGTTGCCATGCGGTAGGTCGCGGCGTGCTGCTTTCCGCTGCTTGCGCGTGCTGGGACGGGAGGTGCGGATCTCGGTGGAGGACATGGTCATGTGTGTGCTTGGATGCGGGGACGTTTCAAACTTCCCTGGACCCAGACGCCGTGGTTGTCAAGAAGCTGTCTAGTGTGGTGCTGTTGCGTGTAGGCTTGCAAACCGAAAAAAAAAAAAAGCAGAGGAATAAAAACCCAATTACGGGACGTGGAGGTGTGGGCGCTGAGCTCTAGCGGCGCGCCCTGTCCCCGCGGCGCGGAACGTGCCCCCCCACCCCAGCCCAGCCAGGCCTCCCGGGGGCAGGGGCGGGGGCAGCGCCGTGGGGCGCGGGGCAGGAATGCCTGCGAAGCTGGCGGGGTGCACCGAGGCGCAGGCCGAGAGTGGAGAACTTAGAGGCGGGGAGAGAGGGCTTCTGGGGAAATGGCGAGCCCAGAAGAGGAGTGCCGGTGGGCGCCGAGGGCGGGGGCGCTGCGGCGCAGTGTGGTTTGCTGAAGAAGGTGGTTGCTTTTATCTTAAGATCAGACGCGGGGGGCGTTCGGCGTCAGGCCTGTGACTGCCCAGGGAGTGCGGGCTCTGGGGTGCGTGTGTGTATGCGTGTGTATGTGGTGGGGAAGAGAGCATAACGGACCCCTCGGTCCGGGGCTGGGTAGAGAGGAACGCCACAGCCACTTGTGGAGCAGGAAGAGGTCCTTGGGGGCCTGCGTGGAGGCCCTGGGCGCAGGCCCCGCCTGGGCGCCTGGCCAGAGCCTCGGCCTTCGGGGCCACAGAAGGCCGGGCCAGCACGCACGGCTCTCGGGGTCTGCTCGCCGAGGGGAAATGCCCCAGACCCATTCGGCCCAAAGGGCTTTTTCTTCCTGCAGTCTTGGTGGGCTATAAATCGTCTCTCGAGCAGTTTGCTCCGACCCAAATTATGCGGTTTGCTGCCATCTACCGTCCGTTCAGAGACACGCGGCTTCGGCGGCGCCAGCCCCGCGACACCACCCGAGCGGTGCCCGACGCCAGGAGCCCTGGTCGCGCGGGCTCCGCGAGGTTTGGGGGGTTTTGCCCCCTTCCGTCTCTCCGCGGGATACTGGTACTGGGGCTCCCCGATGTGAACTCGAGAGCGGAACCGGTCTCCCCTCCCCCACCGCCCTTCCGCCCCCACCTCTGCCTATCCCAGCCCGGACCCTGGCGGCGGCCGGGGAGAGAGGCTCCTGCCTCCCGGGGCGCGTCGAGAGAGGGCGAATCCTGCGGCCCGCGGACCTCCTGCCCGCCCGCCGAGGCTGGGCGCGGGGTCGGGCCGCTGGAGGGATCCCAGGCCGAGGCTGCCCAAGGTTTATTTGGTTTTCTCCTCAGCCGAGGGAGGCGGCCGGCAGGGGAGGCGCCGGCTCCGGCAGTTCCACTCGGCTGTCAAAAGACAAACCGGGCCTGTGTTCTTCCAGTTGGCTGGGGGGGTGGGGGTGTCCATGGTGAAGGAATTAAGCCGAATTTTCTGGAAACTTGGTGTCTGCAAGTGTGTGTCGGTCCCCTCCCCCATTCTCGATCGTGTCTAGCGAAATGGACGCACGTGTGTGTTTGGGGGTAAAGTTTGGGAGTGGGATTGGCGATAAATGACGGAGGAATCAAACCATGGAGCCCTCCGCTTCGGCCAGCCCCTCACACCCGCTGGCCGCGCCACCGCCTTCCCGGGAGGGGTGGCGAGGCCCGGGGACGCGCCCCCGCCGCCGCGCCCGAATCCCGGCCCCTGTCTCACGGGTTACTGATTAGCCCGGGCTTTCAAGCCGCAGGAGGAAGCTCTCCGGCCTCCCCTTTCAAGGTGCTGTGGCCTCGGTTCCTGGGCGGGGGCTCCAGGAAATCGCCTGCGGTGCCAGGCAGGCCGAGCTGTTACCGGGGTCTGGCCCGGAGGCTCAGGAGCAGCCGAGGTCGAGGGACCCGGAGGTGCCGGGGGCGAGCGGTGGGGCTGTAGCCCCGCGCCGTCGGCGCCTCCGGAGCCTGGGCCTCCCGGGCAGCCCTTTCAGCTTTTCCGCTGCGGCAGGGACTTGCTGGCGGCTGGAAGGCCTGGCTCAGCAAGCCGCCCCGCGGGTGGCCCCAAGGGAGCCAGCCCTGACTGTCCTGGGGGCCCCAGGGAATTTTTTTTTCTTTTGGGAAAACAAGACACAAAGGGAGAGTAAGTCGGACTGCCGACGAGGGGTGAACCGTCCCAAGGCTCTTAGGGTGCCCGAGGGCCAGGGGTTGGGGGGAGGGGACAGGGAGCACAGGCTGATCCGGCCACCACCGCCCACTCCCCCTGAAGATCAGAGAGGATGCCGCTCATTTGCATAATGGAGATTAAGTCTTTGTACCTTGATTTGGATCAGCCAATTTTAGGGCAGAAGCGTTCAATACAAAACCCCTCTCACCTCGGGGAGCTGACACGTCGGATTCAAATCATCTGAGCCCAAGGGAAGAACTGACTTGAAATGTTTTCATCTGCTCCGTCTCAGGGGAAGCTGGCAGGGGGGTGTAGGAAGGTGGCCACCCTGGGGAAGGAGCCGTGCAGCTTAGAGGGAGCAGAAAGCCTGGTTACTGTCTCTCAATCCCCCACCCCACCCCCACGGGTGTGGGCAAATACCCCTCCCTGAGAGCAGAATCCCACTCCCCAAATGTTCTCCTGGGAGCCAGAAGGGGTGTGCTCACCCACAAGCCAACACAGAGATTCACTGTGGGAACCCTATCGTGCACTCAAGACTTGGGGCGTGGTTATACCCACCCCCCCATACACACATTTCCTCATTCTGGCAGGCGGACACCCCCAGAGCTGCAGGCGGCTGTGCCCGCGGTGTGTTCACAGATTCCACTATGGAGACAGACAGACGGCAGCAGATGGAACCACAGACAGATTGGGAGAGACCTGGCTCCAGCAGCCAGGCAGTCTCTGGCCCAGCCCTGCCTGCCTGCTCTTTTTCCCAAACAAACGGATCAGACGAATAAATGCTCATAAATAAATACCTCTGGGCTTAGATAAGAGCGGTGAGGCGCTGCTTCCTTTCATGCCCAACTCCAGGCGCCCGGCCCTGCCTGGAGTGGCTTGGTCTCCCAACAGGCAACCTACAGAGGTGAGGTTACATTGCTGGCTGCAACCCTCAGGATCCAGCGATGCTTTTCCCGCTACTACCACAGGGAAAAGCACCTCCTTCCCCAGGTCTTACCCAGACTCCACAGGGAAGATCATGCTGGTCCTAGGGCGGGGATCTGGTAGCCCCGGAGGGCTGAGGCCCAGGGCCCAGCCTCAGTGGCAGGGAGCAGGGAGGTGCAGGCAGCCATGCTGCCCCACCTGGCTCTGGCTGCTCCAGCAGGCCCCCCTCCGCCCCCACTCTGTAGGAGAGGGCCTATTTGTGCTGCTCTGTCATTAGGGGCCTTGGATTTTTTTTCCCTTAAACACTCATCAAAAACCCCTGTGGGAGTATTGCAGGCTAGGAAGTGGTTGGAAAGACCCCCAGGGACGACCACTTGGCCATGAAGGTGCAGCGTACTACTTGTCCTAAGTTCAGAGACCACTCTGTGCCCAAAGAAGTTCCCACCCTTGGTCACCCAACCTCAGCCCTCTACCACCTTCCCCTGTGTCAGTGGGCAGAGCTGGCTCACAAAGAGGAAGGGAGAGGAAGGTCAGCTTAGCTTGACATCAGAATTTGTCTCATACCCTGGCACCCTGGTTGGGTGGTAGTCACCCTTTACTGCCTGGCCTGTGTGTCCATATTACACTGTTGGGAACACGTTGTGATTCGGCTTCAGCTTGGGCCCAAGGCTCATTTTCTTTGGATGAGAGAGAGGCACAGACATGCTCTTTCACACCCAAGCTTAAATGGCAGCAGCAAAGCCAAGGATACAAATATGGTGTGTGGGAGGGACTTGGAGGGATGCTGTGAGTCAGACAGAAGGGCCGTGAGTGTCTGCATAGGGAACGTGGGCTGATGGCTGGAAACTGCCTGCCACCGAGGTCCCAGGAGGACCAGAACACCCCCACCCCCCACCCCGCCGCCATTCTTGTAAAACCAAACCAAAAGTAAGTCTGAGGAGCGAATGAATTTTCAAAAAGACTGTCAGCCTCCCGAGAGAGCTGGGAGAGGGGGACCAGGATCTCTCCCCCATCAGGAGGATTTAAAGCCCCACAGTGGAAAGAGGAGCACTCCCCCCACCCCGTACCCAGGCTTAATGGGACATCCTTAGTTCCTGAAAAATCTGTAGCCCGGGATATTCTTCTGTCTTTTGGGAACGGAGTGAGGGTTGCAGGCAGGAGAGGCATCAGACAAATAAAGCCACCTGAGCTGGGGGTGCCCCTCACCCTTCCTCCCCATAGCCCCAAGCGAGGAGGAGAGGGGCTAGTCCCTTTCCCCAGTGCCTCTTCCCCCGCCACGAGTGAGCGGCTCCCTGCTAGAACCAGGTGGGGTGTCTCAGGCAGCAGTGAGCACAGCCTTCGGAAGAAGCCCCCAGCCCAGCCCCAGAGTGGGTGTGTGTGGGGGGGAGCCTGGGCTCAGCCCCTCCTGCTGTGGCCCGCTCTTCTGGGTCTTCCAGACAGTGGGTTCTGGCCTGCCCCTCAGCCCCTACCAGTACCAGGCAAGCAGGAATAAGGTACCTAAACCTGCAGGAGAGAGAGCAGAGCTGACGCAGAGGAAAGCCGGTGGCCAAAACCTGGGAAGGAGGGCGTCTCTCTGGACCGATGCAGATACAAATAAGCAGAGAACTCTTCTCACCTCCTGTCAGCCCCAAAGCCTGGGGGAGCAAACCGGCTCCTTTCCTTCTCCCTCAACGAGATTCAGGGAGGTTGACTCGCCCCTCCACCGAGGGAAGGGGCCCAAGCAATGCAGGGGTTAACTTTTCTGAAAACGCAATTAACTTTTCCCTATCCTGCGTGGGGTGGGTGGGGGAGGGAGGTATTTATTTAATCACTGGGGAATGGGGTGGTCTCAGCCCAAATGCTCCCTCCTCTTGGAAGGCACAAGCGCCTCTTCGGCAGATCCTACGTAGGTGGCACAGGACGCGCTGTGTTGTTGGGGGGAGAGGGAGAGAGAGAAAGGAGAAGGAGGGAAAAAAAAAAGGTTGATAGGTTTGTGCGCGGGTCCCTCGTGCGGGCTGCGCTCCTCCTGGGTGCTATTTGACAATTCCTGCCTCTGCCATTGGTCAGTGTTGGATCAGATGGTTGTATTTCCTTCTGGCCCTCACTGGCACCTCGCCATCCCTCCTCAGCTAAAACCCAATCTCGGATATACTACTAATAGGCGCGGCGCTCGGACTATAAAACACAACAAATCATAAACCCGGAGGAGCAGCAGCGGCCGCGCGCGCCTCCCCGACAGATGAGTTCCTATTTCGTGAACTCCACCTTCCCCGTCACTCTGGCCAGCGGGCAGGAGTCCTTCCTGGGCCAGCTGCCGCTCTACTCGTCGGGCTATGCGGACCCGCTGAGGCACTACCCCGCACCCTACGGGCCGGGGCCCGGCCAGGACAAGGGCTTTGCGGCTTCCTCCTATTACCCGCCGGCCGGCGGCGGCTACGGCCGAGCGGCGCCCTGCGACTACGGGCCGGCGCCGGCCTTCTACCGCGAGAAGGAGTCGGCCTGCGCGCTCTCGGGCGCCGACGAGCCGCCCCCGTTCCACCCCGAGCCGCGGAAGTCGGACTGCGCGCAAGACAAGAGCGTGTTTGGCGAGACGGAAGAGCAGAAGTGCTCCACTCCGGTCTACCCGTGGATGCAGCGGATGAATTCGTGCAACAGTGAGTGAGACTGCCCGCCATCGCCGCGACCCCCGCGGGCCCCCACCTCCCTCGGGAGACAGAGCGAGGGAGTCCCGCTCCACCCCGCGGCCCCCCTCCCGTTCCCGCACAGGGTGCCGGGTGGGCATCTCTCAGGGGGATAAGGGAAGATCGATCCGTGCGCCCGCACGGGGTCTCTTGCTGCGCCCTCTGGTCTGTAGCAGTTACAAAGTTTGCAAAGTTCCAGCTGCACTGGGAGTGGGGGGCGGGGTGGGGGTGGGGTGAGTGGGCTCTCTAGGGGCGCCAGGCCAGAGCCAGGATTCCTGGCCAAGGAAGGCAGCTAGGGACTGCAGTCACCAGCTTTGCTTTCCTTTTCGTCCCCAGCCTCCCTCCCCCCAGCCATGGACGGGGGGGGGGGGGGACTCCCACCCAAAGACAGGTCCATTAGAAGCGGAGTGTGTTTCGCAGGGGATGGGGGACGGCTTGACGCCGGCTAGGGGGAGCAGAGGGTGTCCGGGATCCAGTTTCCCTGGGGGTGGGGGCCGGGGAAAAAGATGAGGCACCAGGAAAGAGGTGGCAGTGGGGGGGGGGGCGGGATGAGAGGAAGAAGGAGGGAGTGGGCGGAGAGGGAGAAACAGGCGCCTGGGTCTCAGGTTGGATTATTTGTCGGTTTTAAGTCCCAATTGGTGTCCATTAGCGGGACACGAAAGTGAGGAGCCGTTAATGCGGACTACGGATCGATCCACGTCATTAGGGATTAAGGGGCAGAATCCATCATCGGGAGGGCGGGGTAAGGGAGCTAGATGGATGAAAAGGAAGGAAAAGAAAAGATGCAGCTAGGAGGACACACCTGGGCAGCCCCTCCCCCTCGGCGCAGGTGGGAGTCCGAACGGCGCCGCCCCTCCCCCACCGAGAGTGCAGCCAGCAGGCACAGGCCTGGGAGGCCAGGAGGGCAACTGGAGGGGGCGCTGGAGGAGTGCGAAAGGGGGGCAGGGAGCCGGGAGCGTGGAGGGCTTCCCGGGACGGGCTGGAGTCCACGTTTGAGGGTCTAGCGGAGGAGGTGGGCTTTGGGCGCGACGACGGCAGGCCTCAGCGTCTCCACTCTGCCCAACAGGTTCTTCCTTTGGGCCCAGCGGCCGGCGGGGCCGCCAGACCTACACGCGCTACCAGACGCTGGAGCTGGAGAAGGAGTTCCACTACAACCGCTACCTGACGCGGCGGCGGCGCATCGAGATCGCGCACGCCCTGTGCCTCACCGAGCGCCAGATCAAGATCTGGTTCCAGAACCGGCGCATGAAGTGGAAAAAGGAGAGCAAACTGCTCAGCGCGTCTCAGCTCAGCGCCGAGGAGGAGGAAGAAAAGCCAGCCGAGTGAAGGTGCTGGAAAGGGAGGGGGGACGCGGAAAGGGAGAGGCCTGCGGGGCGCCCAGGGCTTCTGAGAGCCCGGAGCAGGCTCTGCGGGCGGGGGAGCCTGGGGACCCGCTCCCCAGCGTGCGCCAGGCGGGGCCCAGCGCTCTCCCGGACGCCCCCGTCCGCAGAGCGCTCGCTGGGTGCGCGGCGGCGGCGCTGCCCGAGCCCACCCAGCACCCCGAGCGCCTCCTCCCTCCCGAGGAACCCGCCTGGGCCCGATCTGGCCCCCCGGTGAGAACTGAGGATCGGACTCACTCGATGTTTCCCGGAAGCAGAGCGCACTGCTCTCATCCGTGTCGCGTCTCCATTCCGTCCATGTTCCCCCCACCCCACCGTGCACGGTTCAATGGTAGATTCGTTGTCCCCTCAGCAGGGGCCTCGAAGACTCCCTGGCCCCAGCCCTGTCGTCTCTCCCACCCCGTCCCCCAAGCCACTGGAAGGAGCACATACTACCTAGAAGTAAGAAGAGGAGCCTCAGAAGAAAACAAAGTTCTATTTTATTAATTTTCTATGTGTTGTGTTTGTAGTCTTGTCTTAGCTCTGGACGTGAAATACTTCGGTAATAATATTAATATTATTAATAATGATGATAAATAATAATAAAGACGTGAAAACTCGCCGCTCAGTCACCTCCGATCCTCCCTGCCATTTTTTTTTTCCTCTTCCCACCCATCTCCCAGCCACACTCTCCCCTGAGGCTGAGCAGACGGCTCAGGCGGGAGGCCGGCTGGCTGCTGGGTCTCTCTGCAGCTCGCCGACTCAACCTGGGGGTTACAGCTGGGATAAAGGCTGAAGCGGTTGCCCTACCCAGGCCCCAGCCCCTGAGTGTGCCGGGGCTCATCCCTGCCTCGCCGCCTGCAGACCTGGGGGGTTGCACAGGGACTGTCTCCCTCGTATTCTCCAACCTTTCCTCGTTTGTCCACCACGAGGACACCACTGAGGCCCGCTAGCCAGGAGCCCTGGCAGAGACCAGTCCTGGGGGACTGGCGATGTGCAGGCTTCTCTGTCCTCAGGCCCCTGGCCCCCGGCTGGCTCACATGGCCAGTGTCTGCCGGCCTTGGCACTGGGCTCCTGGCCTATGGCTTAGAAGACTTAAAAAAAGGGGGGGACCATTGGGCGTTTCTCTTCCTGGAGTCCCTAGAATAGGAGCTCGGTGGAGAACTCCAAGCACCGAGTGAAGGGCAGGGCTGTCCCCTGCTTCTTGCAGACCCAGGGCAGGAGGTCAGGTGATGCGGCATTTGGTCTCTGCTCAACCCAAAGCGCCCCATCTCTCCCGCCCCCACTGTTACCCAGGCAGAAAGCTGCGGGCTTGTTTTCCTTTCTTCCTCTTCCCTCTCTCTCTCTTTTTTTCTCTCTCTCTCTCTCTTTTTTTTATTTTTAAAGAAAATAGCCGCCTAGCAGAAGGGGCCCAGCTGTGACGGTCTCTGGCCGCCCAGCGCGCTCAGCAAGGCGCTGCAACTCCTTTCCCAGGGCAGGTGGGGGGCTGCTGGGCCAGGGCTCTCACTGCCGGGTGAGCAGCCAGGAGCCTGGAGTGGGGCCTCCGGGTGCACCTGGGAGAGGAGGTGAGGAGGCGAGGGGGTACTGATTTCACCCCAAACTCTGAAACACACTGTCGCTGCACAGCCACTGTGCACTGTTCTAGCCATTTAACTGCCACCCCCTTCCCCCCGCCATGCACTCTGGGGTCTCCTTCCTGCTGGACCACTCCAAGGCCTAAGGGAAGACCGAGGAATACGATTCCAAAGTTCCGAGGGGCCCAGGAAAAGTGAAACCGTCTCCTTTGCTGCTGCAAGCCTGGGGGCTCAGCCCTGCTAGCCTCGTCTGGGCGCCGCTGCGGGTCCAGGGAGCAGGCCAGGCTGGGCGCCCCCGGGAACCCCTTGTAACACTTGTTTTCACACACCACTTCTAAACCTTGCCTCCCATTTCCGCGCCCCAAAGCAAAAGCAAGAGGGTAGCAACTCAATGTTCGATCACCGCCTCCAAAGTTAAAATAATCGTGATGATAATGGTGACGATCTGACGGCGGGCAGGGATAAGGACCCTGAGAAAGCGACTAACCCCGCCCCCAGGAAAGTGGGTGAAAAGCTCAGCTGCTTCCTCTAGAAGGTTCGGCCCTGCGTGAGAGCCACAGCCCGGCTCCCCTCTGGCCGCCGGCGGTCGCAGGGAGCCGGCAGGGCGGCAAGCGGCTGCCGCCATGGCAGCCTGTGGCCCGCGCTCCCGCCGGCCGCCGGGAGGTGGCGCGCTCTGCTCATCGGCCGACGCCGACCTTCTCCAGGCTTCTCCCCCTTCTCCTTTTTCCCCCTCTCTCGGAGGCTCGCATTGAATCGGCCCTAACGATTCTCGGATCGTCATTATTTGTAACCATAGAGCATGAATTACCTCTTGAGGTCATCAGCGAGAATTTACGACTGGTCAACAAAAGCACGTGATTCCCTAACGCCCCCCCACCCCCCTTCCAGCTCCCCCCCCCCATATTTGGCCGCATACATAGCAAAACGAAGTACAGTGCATCGCTATAATTCATTAATACATCATAAATCGTGAAGCACAGGGTTATAACGACCACGATCCACAAATCAAGCCCTCCAAAATCACCCAAATGAGCTCGTACTTTGTAAACTCCTTCTCGGGGCGTTATCCAAATGGCCCGGACTATCAGTTGCTAAATTATGGCAGTGGCAGCTCTCTGAGCGGCTCTTACAGGGATCCCGCTGCCATGCACACCGGCTCTTACGGCTACAATTACAATGGCATGGACCTCAGCGTCAACCGCTCCTCGGCCTCCTCCAGCCACTTTGGGGCGGTGGGCGAGGGCTCGCGCGCCTTCCCCGCGCCCGCGCAGGAGCCCCGCTTCAGGCAGGCGGCGTCGAGCTGCTCCCTGTCCTCGCCCGAGTCCCTGCCCTGCACCAACGGCGACAGCCACGGCGCCAAGCCCTCTGCTTCGTCCCCCTCCGACCAGGCGGCCCCAGCCAGCTCCAGCGCCAATTTCACCGAAATAGACGAGGCCAGCGCGTCCTCGGAGCCCGAGGAAGCGGCGAGCCAGCTCGGCAGCCCCAGCCTGGCTCGGGCGCAGCCAGAGCCCATGGCCACCTCCACAGCCGCGCCCGAGGGGCAGACTCCGCAGATATTCCCCTGGATGAGGAAGCTTCACATCAGCCATGGTAATTCTGCCTTTTTTTTTTTTGTCTCCGGCTTTCCTTTCCTGCGCTTGGGGAGGGCGGTGGCGGCCGAGCGGAGCTTGGCTTTTCCACATACTCGCCTGTGAGGGAGACGTCTCTCCAAGGGTCCTATAAGGTATCGTAGACGGAGCCTGGCTGATGGCTTTGTACGCGGTGTGGAGGGGTGTTTTTTAATAATTCGTTCCCAGGCTCGGCTTAGGTTTCTGTCGCCCGGCCAGTTCCGGGCTGTAGGACGCAGGACGGGGTTTACTTCGTGTGGGGAAGGGTCCCATGCGGACCCCCGAAAGGTTTGAGACTGCCGCTAGAGAAGGCGGGGTGAGCAGGATGAGGAGCTTGCCAGGGCAAAAGTGGGGCCGCTCTGCTCCCTCCCGGGGCGAGCAGCCGCCTGCGCCCAGCGAACCCAGCCCAGGGCGAGGCACTGGGAGGGAACTGCAGACAAAGCCGGGCGCCCTCGCCGCCGCCAGAAGTGGGGGCCGCAGGGGAAGGGGGTGCAGGAATCCAGCCTGGACGGGGACCTCTGGAGCAGGGGGGATTGGAGCTGGGGTGAGCGGGGTGCCAGGGACGCCTGGGTCCTGCTCCCCGCCCCCTCCCACCCAGAGCCCCCGGTCCCTTGGCCGCCGTAACATGGCCTCGCCGCTCCCCTCTGTCTGCTCCAGATATGACCGGGCCGGACGGGAAGAGGGCCCGGACCGCGTACACGCGCTACCAGACGCTGGAGCTGGAGAAGGAGTTCCACTTCAACCGCTACCTGACGCGGCGAAGGCGCATCGAGATCGCCCACGCGCTCTGCCTGTCCGAGCGCCAGATCAAGATCTGGTTCCAGAACCGACGCATGAAGTGGAAGAAAGACAACAAACTGAAAAGTATGAGCCTGGCCACAGCCGGCAGCGCCTTCCAGCCCTGAGCCGACCCGGAGGGGCGCCCCGCCACCCCCAGCCCCGTCCCGGCCACTCCTCCCCCGCGCTGCTGCCGCCGCCGCCGGCTGGGGACCGCTTCCCACGAGCCTGCCTCGCCCTGGCCTTGTGTGACAGTTTTTCGTTCCGTCTTAGCTCGTCCTGTGGCTCCCTCTCTCTCCTGGACTGGTTATCTTGTTATTATTGTTAATAATAATATTATTTTCCCCTCCATGCCCCCCAGTCCCCTTGGCTCTCCCCAACCCGCTCGTTCCTCTGTCTGGTCTGTGGTGACAACTCCTTCCCCCCATCCCCACCTCCCTGGAAAAAAAAAAGAAGAGAAAGAAATTCGCATGTGTAATGTGAACTTTCCCCTCTCCCTGTCTGTGTTCTAACTTATTTATAAAAGGATGATGGCTGCATTTGAGTTTCATCTCAAAACTTCTCTAAGGGGCTGCAGTTGAAGCGGGGGTAGGGTCACAGCAGCGCCAGGGCCCAGCTGAGCTGGCCTCTGACATGGAGTCCATGATTGTGTGTGTTCCCATCCTCCTCTTCCTCCTCCCTTCCTCCCCACTCCCCAGGCCCCAGGCTCCCAAAGGCTTGGTCCTTGGGTGGGCAGGGGCCAGGGAGAACCGAAGGGGTGCTGTGGCGAAGACAGTAGGAAAATAGAGGTTGCTGCCTGGGTAGGCCCCACAAGGCCTGCTCCGGGAGTGTACAGAAACAGGAATAATCCTCGGTGTGAAATGTCTCCTGTGTTCCTCTGTGAATGCGTGGGTCTGGCAGGAGGGCCCAGAGCGTATAAATATGGGGCTAGTCTGGGTCAGACGCATCTACATCTCTTCCTCTGCCCATTTCGCTTCCAAGACCCCGTCTGGGGAGCGGGTGGTTGCTGTACTCCGTGTGAAATCTGCCTTTGCCGGCCCCGTCTCAGTGATTCGCTTTTGGTATTTGTTTGTAGCTTTCCTGGAAATTGAATAAATGTTTCCCCCCCATACTCCACTGCCCTTCCTCTGGTCTTTTCTCCAGGGGGTGGTCTGCCTCTCCCATCACCAGGCACACCCTCCTCCACCAAGCTCCAGAATTCCAGGGTGGAGGGAAGGAAAGGCGGGACACTCCCCAGTAGCCCCTCCCCAGCCACCGAAGACCCAGGCTTGGTCCATGGCCTTTGGGCCTGGGGAACTGAGAGGCCACCCTCCCTAAAGCTCCCCCCCTGGGGGGGGGCTGGGGTGGGAGAAAGGCTGAGCTGACTCCATCCTCACTTTTCCACCAGCTGGCCAGGAGAACCTCCGAAAAACTCTTCAGGGAAAGTCACTCAGGCCTAAGTCCTGAGCTGGAGGCTCCAGCCTGCTGGGAGTGGTGGATGCCTGCCCAGCCCCCTGCCCCCTGCTCCAAATCCTCATTCAGCTCTGCCACCAAGGAAGGCAAAATAATAATAATAACAACAACAACAACAAAAGTCAGCTCGATTTCAAAGGTTTCTTCTCACCTCCAGCCTCCTCTACACTTATCAGGGGCTCTTCTCCTGGGTCCAGCTCACCTTCCCTCTGGGTTTGGAGTCGGGGTCCTTGCTGAAAGACCCCTGGTTCCCCCTCCAGCCAGGCTGGCCCAGGACCAGGGCCCAGTCCACCTCCATCCAAGTCAGCCTCCACCCTGAGCACGAGAGCCTGGGCACTTACCCGGTCACTCCCTTCCAGCAGGGCCCAACTTCTTACAGGACTGGGGGGAGGGGGAGCTGGTGAGGAGGCAGCTGAGGGTCCAGGAAAGCTCCACTGGGCCCTCCTTCCCCTTCACCCCTCGACTTTGTCCCCCTTTGTCGATAGCAAACTATCCCAAAAGTCGCTATGACATTTAGATGTCAAATGGATAGGGGTTTTATCTCGAAGTTAGATCGTAAAAATCGCCGAGAACTCAGACAGATACCCCTCACTGGCTCGAGAAAGTCACGTGAGGTCCATAAAGTTAGTTTTATGGTTTTGGGGAGTTGACACTGCGCGGTATATTTCACATTCTCCAGAATGTTAAGTGACACTTTAACTGCTCGCCGTGGTGGGGAAGGGGGCAGAGCTAGGTGAGCGCCAGGCTCCCAGCCTAGAGCAGCCGGACCGGCCCAGAAGGCGGTGGTGGTGCAGCCCCGGCCCAGCCCGCCCGCCCGCAGTAAGTCGCTTCCAGCTTTCTCTTTCTCCCCTGCAGTTGGGGTGCTCGGGACTGGGGGGGAAGGAAACCTTCGCCTCCCGCAGGGCTGTGTGGGGGCGACGGAAGGGAAATGGAGCCTGTCTTTTGCACCCGGTTCTGAGAAATCGGCCCCTGAAGTGGGGGTGCTTGGTCCGATAAGGCCTCAGCGGTTGGGGGTGATAGACTTTTTGTGTGAGGGGTGTTGTGTGTGGAGATTGGGGGCTGTGTGGCTTCCACGTTCCTTCAGTGCCCTTGGAAAGTTAGGGGGCAACAAGGAGAAGTGTGCATTGCTGAGAAAAGGGTCCCCCGTTCTGGGGGGGCATTCTGCTGCTGGCTATCTTCTAGACATCTCCCCACCACCAGGAAGGAGACTTTATGGCACTCGTTTGTCAGGGGGTGTGGGGGCGCCGGCTGGGCACTTTTATCTAGATCCATCTGAGCAGAGAAAAAGCATCCGGGAGGGAAGGTGGCTGCTGTGGGCTGCCTGGCCCTGGGCAACTCTCTGGCTCTCAGATCTTTGAACCCCATAAAAGGGAGTCTCTCCAGTTCTCTGTGGCCTCCTAGGGTTGGGAGCAATGAGCCCGTGTCCCATCTCCAGCCCGTGGGGGCCCGAGCTACCTTTCTGCTCTGCTCCAAGTAGGAGCCTGAGGTCAAAGAAGGCAGCGGAGGAGACAGGAGACGGGCAGAGCGGGGAATTCTCTCCAATCTCAAACCCAATTCTCGGCCCCAGGCAGGGCAAAGGAGGAAGCTCCTTTCCCTCCCCTACAGGAGTTAGGTATTTGAGTGGATCCCTGGCAAGCCCTGCAGAAAGAATAGCCCCCCAACAGTTGGAAGGAAGAACAGAGATTCCGGAGCTGGGGGGCCATTGGGAAGGTTCTCTCTCTCTCTCTCTCTCTCTCTCTCTCTCCCTCTTCTCTCCTTCCTTCTTTTCTCCCTGCCACACCCTCAAAGGTTCCTTTGTTCTGTGGCCCCACAAACCAAAGGGACCCCCAGGGGGCCTGTTATTTTCTAAGGAAAAGCGAGAGGCCTCTTCCCCACCGAGGTGACTCCCCCATGTAAGATCCAGGGGGCCGACTCCCCTGTCACTGCTGCTTCCGGAGCTCAGCAGTCCCGCGGGTCGTTCCCGGGACTGGATGTGTGGCACGTGGAGGAGCTTCTGGTCTTTGGCACAGGGAGTCCTGGGGCTCCTTTTTCTCCTGAAGGCAATCCGAACTCTGCTCCTGCCTCCTCTTTCCCGACGCCACTGTCTATTTCCTGGACTGTCCATGCCTTGCCCTAGGCTGATGGCCCAAGACCCTTTGTGGGCTTTGAGAACAGAGTTAGTGGACGAAACGTGGAGTCCTCACCTGGTTTGGAGAACATATTGTGAATGATCGGGCCATGTGTCTCCCTTGGACAGGAGACTCTGGTCAGCCCCCAGCACTGTTTAAAATACTAATCAATCACGAAGGCACGGCTCACACAGGCTTATGTTTTCTACAAGGTGAAGAAATGGACAGAGAAGTCTGTGGGCTGGGCTGCCCAGGTAGAGTGGAGCGCAGCGGGGTTAGGGGGAACAGTCCCACCCCAGGCCTTCTGGGGACCACACTCCCATGGTACCCCTATAATGCCACGTTCCCTCTCCAGGAGGCTTCCTAGGAGAGCCCCAAACCCCAGACAACCAGGCCTACGCCTGTTTCCCACCCCCAACCCCCCCTTCGCATTTCAGTTCTGCAAACTCAGATAAAGAGTGCATGGGGCCGGCAGCCCCGGGGACATCTGCTGCGTATGTCTGGACAGATTTTTCCGGAATGGAGAGAGCAGCTCCGCGTGGGGGTGGCCCGCTTCTGCCTCTGAGACCAAACCTCGGGAGGGTCTCCTCTGGCTCCATGCAGATCCTAGAGAGGACACCCAGGCTGAGCAACTGTCCTCCCTCAACCCCAGACCAGTCCCGGGCGAGTGGGGAGCAGGCAGGAGAAGCGGGAAGGTGTTTTCGGTGCCTCGCTGAAGACATCCCCCTGGGGACAGCTGCTCCTCGCTCCCTTCTTCCTCTTCCCCAACCTTCCGAGCTACTGGCGGGCACCCTCCCCTCCCGCCAAATCCTCAGCCTGGGCCTGGCCCCGAGAGACAGCAGCCAGTAGTAAGGCAGGCAGCAGTTTCCCTTTTCTCTCCGAAGCCAGTCTGACCACCACTCACTGGACAATTTGATTTTGATTTTTTTTGTTTTATTTGGTTACTTGTTTTGTTTTGTTTCTCTGCGGGCCAAGGGGCAGGAGGAAGTATGAAGAAGTGTAAACAGGAAAGCTAGCCGGGCCTGGAGTGCCAAGCGCCCATATTTCATCGGCTTCCTCTCCATAACTGTGGCGGGGACACTTAACCCTTCGCTGGCTGTGAGAAGGCATTCACTGCGGGGCCGATGGGGCAGGACTGGGAGATCCAGGGAGCAGCGCCTTGACCGGCCTGCTTCCTTTCTCCCCGGGGCTCTGGATGCTGGGGCGGAAGTCCGGAAGTCAAGGAGTCTGAGCGGAGAAGACAGATCGCTCAGCACAATCCCCAAAATTCAATCCCTTCCCAGGACTGCTCGCCCCTACATGGGTTCCCCCAGCCAGGCGATCCTTGGAGGACAGGGCTCAAAGGAACCCACTGCTCGCTCTCTCTTAAGGGAAGGGCCACTGGTCACCCTCCCATTTTTTGGAGTTTCTCAGCGTAATCGAATTTTGAGGCTGGGATCTGCCCACAGCAGGATTTATCGATCGCTGCAGCGCTGTTACACATCCATATTAATTAACTCAGACACCGCCTGGAAACCGAGCTGTTTGGGAAGGGGGAGGGGAAGATATGGGGGCCCCTAAAGGAAAATGGACGTTTTCTCCCTAAGTGCCCCTGGAGAGTTGCTCTTGGGCAGGATCCTGGGGCCCTTCCCAAGCTCTAAGTTCCGGAACTTAGCAAGGGTAAACGGTGACCCACCCAGCACGGTGGGACTCCACACCTGTCTCCTGAGAGGAAGCGGGGAAGCACCTCCCAGGCCCCCACCCCAGTTTTCTTCGGCAGAGGTGGGTGTCCCCAGCCCTCCCCTGCTCCAGCTCTGGTGGGTGGCACAAATGCAACCTTCCCTCTCCCCTCCCTGCCTTTCAACCGTGCAATCTCGAGTTTTGATGGTTTTCCGGTTTTGTCGGTTTGGTGTTGTTTTAGGGTCCCGTTTGTTGTTGGTGGTGATGAAGGTGTTATGGCGTTCCCTTTCCTTCTACCCCCTCCCTCCAAAAAGTGATTAAAATCTGTTAAAGGATTTAATTAAGAGAGTTAAATGAAAAGGAAGGAGGCGCAAATGAGTTGGGGGAAAAAACCCACACCAAAGCTATTCTCAGCGATTAAATCGCCATTTTAACAATATAATGGAGTTTGCATCCTGAAAGGGGAAATCAACGCTCATATCTCATCAATAATTCATAGAGTCCGGGATCACGCAGAGGTCAGCAGACGGGGGCCGCAGCGCCGGCCTACGTGGGGCCCGCATACATTATGCGCCGCCGGGCCGCTTGGCCGTCGCCGCCGCCCCAGGCCAGGGGCGGGGGCGAGCCAGGCCGACAGGTTCAGCCGGATGTTACCTCCCTTCTTTTGGCGAATTCACCGAGACCCAGATTTCGGGCTCCACGGGGACGTGGATGCAGGGGACGGCCGAGGGCCGGCCGAGGGCGACACGCGGATGTGATACCCGCGCGGCACCTCCGTTCCCAGCTTTTCTCTCTTTCCCTCCTACCCATCTTTTTCCTTTTCTCTGCGGGGTAGGGCGTCGCCCGTCCTGCGCCTTCTCGCCCCCAGAATAGCCCCCCGGGAGACGGACCGGCACTCCCCGCGGCCTCCTCTGGTTTCTCCGCTCTGGGTTCTCTGGTTTCGCTCCCTGGGCGGACGGGGCCGAGCCCACGCCGCTGCCGCCTGGGCTGCGGCCTCCGAGCGCCAGCTGGCTTAGAGGGCAGCGCGCCCTGCCCTGGGAGCCCGGGGGCCCGCGAGGAGAGGTCACCTCGAAAGCCCCGGGCCGGCTGGCCTCGCCACGGGGTGACCCCGGCCAGGCGGGGAGGTGGCGAGACAACGTGGACAGCAGCATTTCGGGGGTGATTTGGAAGGAGAGGGCCAGCGTGGCTGGCGTGTCCTCTTCGGGGGCATTTGGAGGCACCGGGGAGGAGACTCTACATCGGGATTGTGCTCCTTCTCGGCTCGCTCGCTCTCTCTCCTCACCTCTGTCGATTCGCTCTTTTCTGTTTTCCGACTCCCAAGAGCCCCTAGGGAAGGAGGAACGAAGCCTTCCCCGAGAGAGGAGGGAACCTGGGAGGCGGCATCCGCGCGGAAGGGAAACCGAAAGCGCGCGGCTCGCCCGCCCGGCGGCCGCGCCGGCCGAGAGGCAGAGGCTGTAACGTCCCCGAGCTGCCAGTAGAGTCCGCCTTAGACCAAGTTCACAGCCGGGCTGGGGCCTCCGAAGCGCCAGCGAGCGGCCGCGCAAGGTGGCCCTGGGCCCCGCTGGGCCTCGCATTGTTGGGACGCCAAGCCCTCCCTCCCGCCAGGTGGGGACGGGGGCCCACTCCGCTCCCGAGGAACCCCTGCTCCAAGCGCCCCCCGCTCTTCTCCCCTTCTCCAGGTCAGCGCGTTCTTCTGTTCCCCACGGGTCCTCCTTGCGCAACCGCCGCGGCCCCACGCTGGGGCACGGGAGCGAAGAAGGGTGGGTGGGCAAAGGCCCTTCCAGGCGTCCCAACAGAAGAAAAAGGTTAAAAAGCTGGCGGTGGGGCCGGCCCCCTTTCCTGAGGAGTTACTTAATCATCAGAGACTCCTCTTGGCCGGGTCTAAGGCCCTTGACTGGGGGTGGGGTGGGGGCGCGATGGCGAGGGGGGAGGGACGGGGAGGGTGTTTTGCGCTCGGGTTCTGCGGCCAGCGCGGCAGCTTGAGCCCCAGGGCCAGGAGGCCAGTGTTATTGCCGGAGGGGTCGCAAAGTTGGAGGGTCAAAAGTTTACAGCGTGCGTGAGGAGCCCGCGGAGGCGTCTAGCGGCAGGGGCGGGGTGGGAGAGGGGGAGGGGTCTGTATGTGCGAAGCGAGAGGAGAGAGCCAGCCGGGGATGCTGGAGGTAAGGAAGGCGGAGTTCCCGGACCCTGATAGGTGGGGGGGGAGCTGCGGGGGGAGCAGACCTGGGCGGGGGGAGCGGCGGATACGCGGGGAAGAGGGGAAACAACCAACCCTTCTCCCCCAACTCGCGCTGCTGCTGCGCGACAGACAGTGCTCCCGGCGTGGCCACTCCGCCACGCAATTTTCTCTCCCAAAGATAACCTTTGAGTCACCATATAAAATTTAATTAAAACCTACCCAGCCGCACACATTTAAAAAATCCAATTACCCACACGTCCTTGCAGGGGGTTTGGCAGGGCCAAAGAAGGCTTCCAAGGTGAAGGCTGGATTCTCACCACCATCAACCCCACCCCGCTTGCCCTAAAGGGTCCCGACTGCAGGCTCTTCCATCTCTGCCTCCCAGGGAGATAAGGCTGTCTGCAGGGACCCCCCGAAGGCCCCCCGCTGGCTCCAGGCAGCTGGAGTCCATGGCCATGAGCCAGTGCTGCAAGCTTCCTAAACTGCCAACTGCTCAGGTTTAACAGCTAGGATACTGAAAAGTGGTTAGCTTGTCTGTTCTCTTACTCTTCCCCAAGCCTCCATTTCTCTGTTCATCCGGGCTCCCTCTCTTCCTGTTTGCAGGAGGGAGGGGAGAATGGGGAGGAAAAGTACTGAATGGCCCCACTGAGCTCTCTTTAACTGGAGTTGAAACGGGGCGACCTGAAATGAACCTTGAATCCATGCATTAAGCTTAGCTCAGAAGTAAGATGCTTAGAGAGACTGTAATTAGAACACCAGGGCCCATGCCTATTTTTGGGTCTTTAAATGACTGTTTGCTGCATGGAGAGATGTCATCATATTCACTTCCAAGCATTTAATGTGGGAGGTGCACTGTAGGTATTTGGCCTGCCAGAACTGAGATGACCCAAGAGTTTGTGTGAACAGATGTCTTTTGAAATATGGCTGGAAAAGACAAAGGCTTAGTGGTAAATTCCAAATCTCTTTGACCCTAGTTTTTGAGTAAACCAACTAGGTGCTTGCCCCTATTTCTACTAGCCTTCCGTGGGAGTAACTCTGGGGTGTCAGGCCAAAGAAGAAGAATTCCTGCGGTCTTGAAGAGGTGGGGGCAAAGTCTGGGCTGGAAGATCTCCCCTCTTCTGTTTGCCTTCCTCCTTTTCTCTGTCCTAGGACGGAATGTTAGCAGATGTAAGGATCAGTGGGACAGACCCTGTGGAACAGTCCAGGGTCCTGGGCTGCAGCGGCCTCAGGATGGGGAGAGTGGCTCTGTGGCCCTCAGTAGGTGGTGAGATGCTGTTTCCTGACCTCTGTACCAGGGGACACCACCCTGCCAGTGCTCCCTCTAGGCCGGAACCTCCCTCTGGGTCCAAGGGGGGGGTCACCTGACCTACTTCTGCCGGCCCCTTGGAGACTGGACAAAGGGAGAGATGTGTTGCAGGCAACGCACCTGTGTCGAATTCTGGAGCGAGAAAGGCAGGACCATTTCTGAGTATTTTTTGATGCCTTCTTGATTTGCTACTGAACCTATTTGTGCTGGTGATGAGTAGGCAAGGGAGCTGCTGTGGAGACGCCAACAGTCTTTAAAAAAACATTTGGAAGCAGAAGATATGGTTTTGTTCTCACAGGACAAGGAGAGCTTCTGAAAACCAAGTGCTCAGCTCTGCGTAGTGCAGTCTGGAGCCCGTCTCAGGGTTCTTTCTGTCTTCTCTGGTCAAGCTGGGGCTGTGGAAAAAAAAAAAAAATCCTCAGCCCCAAGAGGTGGAGGAGTCATTCTTGGGGCACAGGGAAACTTACAAAGCTTTGACAGAAATGGGAGTATTTCTGGCAGTAGGGGTGCAGGCAGTGGGGTGAGGATGCAGGCGGTGTTGATGCAGACTTTTAGGGGGAAATTCAGAGACTGGATCTGTGGCTCAGGCCTGCTGTCTGGGACCCAGCTACCCAAGGCTGCGTCTTCAGTTCTGGTGCCAGCCTCCTTCCCCCACCTCCAAAGGACCCCCCCCCCCGCCCATGGAACCTCTCTCTCTCTCTCTCTCTCTCTCTCTCTCTTTCTCTCCCACCCCGGGAATGAGAGCTGACAAAAATACAGGACTGGTGCAAAATCAAAGCATGAACGTGGCAGCCGCGCTGGCTGAATCCTACCGTTGTGGGACCTTTTTAGGGTTGGGGGTTGAGTGAGGGCAAGAGGTGGTTCTGGCGAAAAGCGGAGCCAGAGAGGATGAGCTGAATCAAATTCCTACTCTGCCATTTTTCTCCCAAGTAATGACCTACACAAAATTCAATATGACCGAAGTACCACTGCCTGCTTGTGGGGGAGGCCCGCAGAGGGGTGAACCACAGGTCACGGCGTCTAAAATTTATTAAAATGTTCGAGAGCCTCGTGACGCGCCTAGCTGTTTAACAAAGACTGCCAAAGTATGAGATTAATACGAAAACTTGCGCTTCAAAAACAAAAACACCAAAAAAAAAAAAAAAAAATCTTGTTCCGGCCTCCTCCGAGGGGGCCCATGGCTCCTCTGCCCGCAGCCGCTGTTCGGTTTTCTGGAGAGCGGGTCCGCAGGCCGGCCAGCGGCCGGGAGCGCGGGCAGCGGCCCGGTGAGTACTCCCGCCGGCTCTTCTCTGGGCCTTGGCCTCCTCGGCGCGGCGGCGGTGCGCGGGACCGGCTGAGATTCACAGCCACCCGGCCCTTCGGTTTCCCTTCCTCGCCGCATCCCTTCTTCCTCGCCTACAAAACGTGGCTGATTGCCCGCGGGCCGGGCACGCTGGGGACTGCGGAGGGGGGCTTTGGCGACCAGGGGTCACGCCCGCAACCTGTGGCTGCGGGAGCAGGCGGCCTGGAAGCCGCCGAACGACCCCGGGGACACAGGGGAGGGGGCTGCAGACGCAGGCAAGTCACAGCCCGTATTTTTATTATGCAGGATGCTGTTAGGGTTTTTCTGGGGCGGAGGAGGGAGGGAGCCTGCAGCTCCGGTGAGACCAGTCCTGGAAGTCGCTGATAAACCCCGTCCTCCGCCCCTGGCGGCTGGCCTCGCATTGGGCGGGAGGGGGCGGTTTGCCATGCCTCGGTGGGACCTGACCAGCAGGTGTCGGTGCCCAGTGGGCTCCAGGGAGACCATCTCTGCGTTTTGCTCTAGGACCAAGCATACCAACCCCCTAGTGGCTCTGCCCTCCATTTGTCTCTTGGGGTGCGCTGCCAGGCACCAGGGTCCCGTCTCTTGTGAAGTGTACAGCAGCAGAGAGGCCCAGCGATCAGCTAGCTGCCCTCTCCAAGGTCTGAAATGCCAGCGGGCTGGACTGGTTACCCAGAGTCAACAGAATGGGCTGTAAGGGGCAGGCAAGGGGCCTGGCCTGTTGGAGGGGGTTGTGAAGCCCCTAAGTGGTGTTTGGGGGAGAATGCTTAATGCTGGGAGCTGGCGGGCACTGAGAGACAGACTCCAGTCTTCCTGAGTGTCTACCTGGAGATCCGAGGTTACAAGTACAGTGCAGTAGCTCCCCCTCCCCCGGATTACGTGTGAGGTCGGCCAGGAAGGGAGACTGTTGGTGTTAGAAATCAGGGGCAGAGCCTGGATCTAGAGTGAAAAATGCAGGGCTCTGCGGATGGAGCTGCTGGCAGGTGGGAGGTCTCCCGCGCTCACCTGCGGTTGGCAGAGACCCCCCGGGTTGTGGTGGCTGGAGGATGGCTTTTGTGGAGTTGCTACATTTGTTAATGAAATTGATGTTATTCACACCTGCTCTTTGGGGCTGCAGGTATTTCTGACAAGGGGAGATGGCTAGTGGGTGGGGCAGAGGCTTCTGGGCACATTCCCCTCCCCCGTCACGGCTTTCACAGTCCAAGCCTCCCAGTTTAGTCCCCAGTGTCCCAGTTTAGGAAATCCAGCAGCTACTGGGAGGCTTAGGAAGCTGGATCTGAAATCCCAGCTCCCCTGCTCTGACCCCACGGCCAGCAACCGGAGCAGGTGGCCGGGCCCAGTTAGGGAGTGCATTTAGCAGCAAGGACCCCTGCCCGGGGCCAGGGAGGTGGGAGAACGGGGTTCCTACACACACCTCCTGGGGACTGTCCCCCTCTCGTGGTCCCCAGGAGGTGTGGGAGGGTGGGAGGGGCTGGCACATCATCTGGCCGCATCTTTTATGGTTCCTCATTGCCCTTCATTCGGAAATGAGACGCCTTTGATCTTTTTCTCAGGTTGTAAACAGAATTGCCTGTCATTAAATATCCGGGGCCCCATCTGCTTGGTCTCCCAGCATTTTTGTTTACAGCTGTTTCTCTTTCTTTCTACCATTGACTTTTTCCAAAAGGACTTTTATTACACCCCCTTCACACCCAGCTGTCCCTGCCTCCTCCCTTTGCTGAGAGGCGCTTTGAAAAATATCTAGATATTCGTTTGATCACAGAATAAAGGCTGCAAGGGGCACGGAGGAACGGATTGGGGGTTTTGTTTTTTCTTTAAGAAGAAGAAGAAGAAGAAAAAAAAAAACCCTAGAAGTCTTGGGGGAGGGGAGGAACTGGAGGGTACCCAGAAGGGCCTGGTTCTGACTTCAGAGCAGCCTCGGGATGACCCTTCCTCCTTTTGTGCTTAGCTAATGTTTACATCTCATAATTCATGCGCCTCCGAGAGAGTTGCGCAGTAGGGCGAGGCTCGCGTCGCTCGCTCGGCGGACTGGTGGCTTCTCTTTCTCTCTAAGAGGAGACTTGAAGCCTTGTAATCCCAAGAATGGACCCGCAGTGCCGTTTTCTGCTCCCAGGGCTCAAAAACTAAAACAAAACGAAATAAAATCAAAGCACTCAAACCACACCCCCAAAGAGAAGAACGCTCGGAAAGTGGGAGAACTGGAACATTTCTGGGCCGAGAAGATCTGTCTGTCTTCTGTATATACCCTGTAGATCCGAATTTGTGTAAGGAATTTTGTGGTCACAAATTCGTATCTAGGGGAATATGTAGTTGACATAAACACTCCGCTCATTTTTCCCCCCAGAAGATAAAAATACGCGCTGTCTTTCTAAATGAGGACAACCCGCATGCGAAGACGCCTTCCCTTGTCTTTCCTCCTCCGCCCTTTTTTCTCTCAACTGGTCTCAGATGGAGGAGCCTTCCACCTGAGCTCTCCCGGTGCCTGTCCCTGGGAGCCGGGTCCTTTTCCTCTTTTCTAAGAGGTTCCTGTTGTCGATGATGAGGCTTTTAATTTATGCTCCGTGCCCCAAGCCCACCTATTTTCTGTTCTGGGCTAAGGGAGGCTTGACTGGAAATGTGAAAAACTGCCTGTTGTCTCCAGTGTGCGAAGTCCAAGGAGACTCATTTTGCAAACGGATGGAGGGGCTGCCTTTCCGCTGGGGTTCGGCACAAAATACCCTGGGAAGACGTGATTACCAGGGAGCATTGTTGTGTGCGGGGGTCACTTCTGGGGCGCCTACCCCCAGCCTTGCGAGGATGTGACATTTCTATTCGCCCCGGAGGCGGCAGCATTAGCGGCAATTACAACGTCTCGGCGCCATGGTTAGTATTGCTTCGTTGGTTCTGGAATTAGCAAATTGCTATTCAATTTGCTCTTAAAAGTTGCAAGTTTTTTTTTTTTTTAATCCTAATGTTCATCTTCAGTATGGGATATCAAGTGGTTTCTGTGGGCCTGAGCTGTGCAGGGAAGTCAAGAGAGGCATGGATGGGGTAGGGAGACGGACAAACTGACTGACACAGCCCAGCTAATAGCGCAGCTAAATGCGATTTGGAAGGCGAGGTCTCCCCGAATTAGTGCATGAATTTCCTATCGATCCGCCGGCGGTTCCATTCATCTCTGACAAGTCTCTCGCGCGCCCGCCCTCCAGCGCCCCACGCCTCCCCTCTCACCCCCCAACCCCTCCCCATCCGGCTGCAGAGAAAAGCCCTATGCTCCATCCGCGCTCCGCGCCCCCCGTGGGTCCCCCTCCTGAGGCGGCGCGTCCAGCCCCGCCGGTCACTGCACTGCTGCCCCACGCAGGCACACACACACACACACACACACACTCTCGCTCTCTCTCAAGGTGCACGAGCTCACTCCCGCCGTGGGGCGGAGATGCGAGCCGGCCTAAGGCAGCGGATGGCGGCCGGCGCAAGGCAGGGCTGGAGGGGCTACCCCGGCAGCCCCGGCCTCTGAGGGGCTCCGGGCACCGTGCGCTGCCCAGCGCCCCGACAGGCCCTCCGGGCGCAACTTGCTGGCTCTGGCGCTCTCCCTGGGATCTGGGAGAGGGCAGGGCGAGGAGGGGGTCGCCCCGCAGGAGCCCTATGTAAATCCCAGGGCTGGCTGGGTGGGTGGGGAGGGGGGGAGAGAAGAAGGGGAAATAGACCTCTGGCTGGAGTAGGGTCCGGGTGAGCAGATTTCCTTATCCGGGAATCGCAGGCGGGGCGGCTATTGGCTCGGAGGATCACGTGGGCCCCTAACTTTGTTCACTTGACAGTAAGTAGGAGGGCTTTCGGAAACAGGAAAACGAGTCAGGGGTCGGAATAAATTTTAGTATATTTTGTGGGCAATTCCCAGAAATTAATGGCTATGAGTTCTTTTTTGATCAACTCAAATTATGTCGACCCCAAGTTCCCTCCGTGCGAGGAATATTCACAGAGCGATTACCTGCCCAGCGACCACTCGCCCGGGTACTACGCCGGCGGCCAGAGGCGAGAGAGCAGCTTCCAGCCGGAGGCGGGCTTCGGGCGGCGCGCGGCGTGCACCGTGCAGCGCTACGCGGCCTGCCGGGACCCCGGGCCCCTGCCGCCGCCGCCGCCCCCGCCGCCGCCCCCGCCGCCTCCCGGGCTGTCCCCTCGGGCTCCTGCGCCGCCGCCACCCGCCGGGGCCCTCCTCCCGGAGCCCGGCCAGCGCTGCGAGGCGGTCAGCAGCAGCCCCCCGCCGCCTCCTTGCGCCCAGAACCCCCTGCACCCCAGTCCGTCCCACTCGGCGTGCAAAGAGCCGGTCGTCTACCCTTGGATGCGCAAAGTTCACGTGAGCACGGGTGAGTGCGTGGGCGCCCCTTCCCCCTCCCGCCCTAAAGGGACCTCAGAGGCATTGGGGGGGGGAGCCTGGGGGAAGCCAATTGTCCCCGCTATAAACTCGCCATTGCTAGAGATTTACGGTCGCCTGTTTTCAGAGCCACATAATTACATCCCCCATAAATTTTTATGGCCTGGTGGGCCCCGCGCCTTTGAAGTCCGTTCCCCATCCTCTTTGCCATTCTCAGCAGCGACTTCTCCACCAGTGAAGTTGGGAGATGGAGAGGGGTGGGGGCAGTGGGGGAGGAGGAGGAGAATCCGTATTTAAGCACAGAGTTGAGTCAACTCCCAATATTTGTATTTTCCCCGCTTCCAGTCCCGCTGCTTGGCTGCAGAAGCGGGCAAAAGTTTTTGGGTCTTTTTTTTTTTTTTTTTAAACCGGGAGGCAGGCACTGCTTGGAATCTGAGCAGCAGCGAGGGTGGGAACTAAGCAGGGGACAGGCTTGGGGAAGAGCGAGGAGCGGTGAAAGCCTCGGGACCATCCCTCGCCCCCTCCCACACACCCCCAATCAGCCACGACGACAGCGCAGCCGTCCAAAACTTTGAGGAGGCTTCCTCTTGCCTGGGTCTCATCGTCCCCCCTTTTGGATCCTCACACTGCACCCCCCCCCCAATCTGCAGGGAGAAGAGGTGGCGGGGGAGGGGGGGAGACCCAGGTCGCTGCAAGAAAAGACTCCGTTCCTCCTCCCTGTCGGGGGCAATAAAACTTTCTCTTTCTCCTTCTCTCTGTGTGTGTCCAGTAAACCCCAATTACGCCGGCGGGGAGCCCAAGCGCTCTCGGACCGCCTACACTCGCCAGCAGGTCTTGGAGTAGTAGGAAGTAGTTCCTCTCCACCCCGCTACCTTTCGCGGTTGCGGAAGGGGTGGAGATCGCCCACGCGCTCTGCCTCTCTGAGCGCCAGATCAAGATCTGGTTCCAGAACCGGCGCATGAAGTGGAAAAAAGACCACAAGTTGCCCAACACCAAGATCCGCTCGGGCAGCACCGCAGGCGCAGCCGCAGCGCCCCCCGGCCGGCCCCACGCAGGCGCCCCCGCGCTCTAGTGCCCCCCGCGCGGGCGCCGCGGACTCGGGGCGGGGGCGGGCAGCGGGGGGAGCCGGGGAGGGCCCGGAGCAGCCCGCCGCCCTCCCCCCACCCCAACTTTGTAGGAATAAACGCAGACAAGGAGGGGTAGGGAAAGCTTTATTTATAGAAATGACCGAGGGCCCCCACACACCCGAAGCAAGGTTCAAGTCTCTTGCTTTCTTCCTTAAAAAAAAAAAAAAAAAAAGAAGAAGAAGAAGGGGAAAAGGAAGAAAGAAAAAGACAGAAAGAGCAATAGGAGGAGGCTGCAGCTCCTGTTCCCAGCGTTGGCGAAGATGGATCCACGTTTCATCTTTAATCACGCCAGGCCCAGGCCCATCTGTCTTGTTTACTCTGCCGAGAGGACGGGCCTCGGTGGCGACCATTACCTCGACACCCAGCTAACAAATGAGGCCCGGCCCGGCCGCCGCCGCTGCCGCCGCTCCTGGAAGGCTGCCTGGATTTCCTTTCTTTGTCCCCAGCCCCGACACGCAGCGAAAGCAGCCTCTGACTGCCAGATAGCGCGGTGTTGTGGCCACGGTAACAAACACGCACAGCCTCCCTCCCCCTCCTTGCCGCGGCTGCTCGCCCCCTTCCACCTGGGCTGCAGCGGGAGACAGAGGAAGGGGACAGGGATTGGGGGCGGGGAGATTGAGGCCAGGATTTGGGGCGGGGGCGGGGGGGGGGGGCGGGAGAAAAAGGGAACCCAGGAGGGCCTTCCTCTGGAGGGCCGGGCCTGGCGGGGCACAGGGCTGCGGGCTCCAGGGGCCTTGCCTCCGTGGCTGAAAATGAGCGTGAAACTAGGAGGCGAATGCCCTGCCCCACCTCGCCGGTGTGCACTGCCTGGCAGAGCCCCTCCTACAGTTTGACCTTGTTGCATCGTTTATTTTATTATTATTATTATTATTAATATTATTATTATTACTATTATTTTATGCCATACGTGTCCTCCTGTTCTCTCTCTGACATTCCAAGCTGGGATGTGCCCCTCAACCCCCACCTCAGGGGCTGCCTGGGTCTAGAACCTTTCGTTGGCGTGAAAATGTGTGTCATGTACAGAGTGACAATAGAAATAAATGTTTGGTTTCTTGTGACCAGCACGGCGTGTTTTTGTTGAAGCCTTTATGTCATGACATGGACAAATGCCACCCCACATAGACCTTAAGCACCCTAGTGGGTTCGGCCTCACGTTGTACCTGTTTTTTTTTTTTTTCTTTTCTTTTTTCTTTTCTTTTCTTTTCTTTCTTTTATTTTCAAATGGTCTGATGGGACTTTCTATCAGTAGGTTCCAAATTGTGGTCGCTGATTCTGTTTTCCTTTTGGGGTGGGTGTGTTTTGTTAGGGGCTTTTAATTTTTTTTCCTCCTCCAGTCCAAAAAATGGTTGGAAAGGACTGGGAGGGCTGAGTCTGGTCCCCGATGTTTCACTGTAGGACACAAGAGGCTTAAGTACGGCGAAGCCTTTCATATCGTGATTTATTTGTCATAAGCAAATAAAATGCGGTTAAGCTGTCTCCTTCTAGACAGACAGCCCTTTGGTTATTAAAGTTCCGAGAGAGGAGAGAGGATTCCACAAGGCCTGGCCTCTTCCCTCCCCGCGCAAGAAGGTATCACTTTCCTCAGAGGTGTTTAAGGCTTTTAATGAGTCTAATTTTTTGCACAGATGTTTCTGGGTGTTTGCAGGTTTTCAGAGTATTTTTATATTACAAAGGAGCTAGCCGGTGCCATAGCTCAAACTCTGACAAGCAAATAGATAATCAAGAAGACAAATGGCCTCTTTTGTGAAGCCCTGCTCCTGTATTAATTTTCATTTTCTTTCTCATAGCAAGTATCGAAAGTAGGACTAGGGACCAAATAGCTTTCCTGTCTCTCAGGTCCCAGTCACCCCTAGAATGGAATGGGGGAAGGGGAAGGGGAAGGGGTTCGGGGCAGCTTTTGTGCAGCGCTGCTGTGAAGTTCTAAGATCTGGGAGCTCCAGCCTGGGGGTGAGGGGGTGGGGTGCGGAATCTGGCCTGGTGGCGGGCCAGGGTGCCAGCCACTCCGCCTCCAAAAAAAGCTGGAGAGTCTATGTGCGATTAAAAGTCGTTTGTTTTTCCTGATCCCACGTCTCCTTTGAAAATAAAGAGAGCCAGACACACCCACACATTTTATTGTTTTTTATTTTGCATTCCTCTGGTTTGCAGGGCAATAACTGGAGAGTGGTTAGGGCCAGGGGGAACCGAGGGGGCCTGGGTCCTCAGCGCTGGAGAGGGCAGTGGAAGTGCCCGATTCAACGCAGCTCGGCCGGGGGACTTAGGAAAAATCACCCTGGACCTGGAGGGAGAGGGGGCGAGCTTTGTTTCCGTGGCGTCGCGGGGTGGTGTCTTAGCTGCAAGGAGAGACAGGGACAGCCCTTAGCAGAGGGGGAAAATAGTTCTGAAAAAGCAGATGCCCCCCCCCCCCACCGGAATCTCTCTAAAAGAACCAAATCAAAGCTGCTCCTTGGAAGGTATGAATAGAATTTAAAAAAAAAAAAAGATTTCTATGGAGCTTAAAGTTCACAGTCATTCTGTGTAAGACAAGAGCTAAGAAAAATGTGAGAATTATACGGAAAACCATTAATCACTTCTTTTCTTTAAATACGTATCCTCTCTCCTTTGTTATTATTCAACAGCAAATCTCCACAGACCGGCTGCTGGGGGAAAAAACTGTTAGCCGCCTCTCCCAGATCTGCGAGGGGAGAAAAATCGGACCATAAAGTTGAAAACTTTTTTCTCTCAGTTTGGAAGAAGCCGTTCATCATGAGTGGGACCGGCGGCGCTCGGGCCACAGGAGGCGAGAGGTGCAGAGGTAACAAAGCCGGCCGGGCTGGCGGGTTTGGACCGTTTTTTTTTTTTACGAGCTCTTGTCACAAGCAAAAGAAGAACCCTCTCTCTCGCCTCCTCCTCTTTTTCTTTCTCCACTGTCTGCGCGGGGATTTTTGCGGTGGCCCCTGGGGCAGGTTGACTGCCTTTTATGATGAGGGCTGCCTGGGTCCTGGATGGGTGTTGGAGCTGACTGGGGCGAGGTGGCAGGGCCGCCAAGAAGCCCCAGAGGAGAGGGCTGGCCACGGGGCCGCCCAGCAGCGCCGGTCTGGCTTTGGAGGATGCAGGCGGGCGCGGGGCACTGCACAGCGTGTGTGCATGCGTGTGTGTCTATGGGGCTCACGTGTGGCCGGTGTGCTCCCTTGCCTGTCTACACAGGGGGCTCGGGTCCCCTCTGTCTGTTGGCTGGTGAGAGGTTGTCACAGAGAATCCAGCTCTGGGATGCGGTGCCCTGGCTTGGGACCGATCCTTTTCTCTTCTGGTGTTGAGGAGCTCGGGATTCTAGACAAATATCGTGCTTCTGTCTGCAGCGAGAAACTGCTCAGCTCACAGGCGAGATGCGTTGATGGAAAAAAAAAAATTCTTCCTCTGAGCTGCCCCCCTGGCTTTCTGGAACCCAGAGGCTCCGTGATGGGGTTGGTGTTTCTGTCTGCGTTTGGGAACTCTGTTGTCTCTGCTGGGGCCCTGCTCCTCAGGCGCAGGGAGGCAGTGGCTCTGCATCAAACCTGAATGTGCTGGCCCTTTTTCCCTGAGGCCTCACTTAGGGTTTGGATGTGGGAGGCTGGCAGGAGAGAGTTCATGGAGAGGCCACGTTTTCTAGGCGATTAGCTCGGTATTAGAACCACAAAATGACCTCGGAAGCCCCTTGACCTCTCCGAGACTGGACATTGTGCTGGCTCCTGCCTACTGCCCAGGAGGGAAAGTCGCACCTCCGCAGGGTAGAGTCTTAGGGCTGCTGCACTCCCCCCCATGCCTCCATCCCTCTTTTGTCCCTAAACTTTTCTTTGCTGTCTTTTTGGGGTTTCTGGATTACTTTTGTATGACTGTCCACTGGGGAGAAAAGCAATAAAAATTTCAGCCCAAGGTCCCTGTTAGGGCAGGGAAGTGGGGTGCCGTCTGTCTCTCTCTACCCAACCATTTCCGAAGCCAGGCTCTACCCCCCTCTTCCAAGGCCAGCTCATCCCTTCTTTCTTGTGTCACTTGGAGGGAGCTGAGGGAAGCAAGACAAAGGGATGGGGTAAGAGCGGTGGAGAGGCTGGAACCCCAGTTCCCCAGGGCCCAGAGGCGTGGGTCCCTGGGCTATAAGGAGAGAGGGGGCTCCCACTGCCTCTCTAGGGCTGACATGCAAATCTGCATCTTCCCCACTCATGCTCTGAAGTCTCTTTGGGTAGGAAGGTATTTTGAAAACCATCTTTCCCCTTTCTTGCCCTGGTCCCCAATCCCGCCCAGCTACTCACAGAGTCCTTGGACTGTACCATTCACTGGAGGAGGTGGGAAGAGCATCAGGGCAGGCTGTTCTGATCCTTCCCGGGCCGGCTCTAGACCAAAGTTTTTAGAAACTTTTCATTTTAAGAGATGGATGGAAGATTTGCTAAGGTGACCCCCAAACATAGAACCCTTCCAAATCTATATTCTGGATGCTATATCTTAAAAATCCATACCAGTAGCATCCTTTTAGAGGGAGGCAGAGGTGAGGGGAGACAGAGAGAGAGACAGACAGACAGATTCTGGCTGGGCAGAGGAAGACTGGGAGAGACGGGCATCACTGGGACGTGTGTGGGGCATTGCTTTGCATTTTGTAAATTATTTCCCATAATCTGGGAACTCTATCTCAAGCAAGAAGCAATTGGAGTGATTGGGGTCTTCTCCTTCGTGGCATGAACAGAGGGACTGGAGGCCTCAGAGGGGACAGGGGTGAGCAGAAAGGCAAGTTGGACTCTTCCTGGCCTGAAAACCCATGCAGCTGGGGGGAGCCCTGCATTACCAACAAGGGCAGATCACCAACTGCAGACGCTCTCCAGGCCCCAACCTGGTTCCCAGGGCCTGCAGTATTGGGAGCCACCCAAGGGAAAGGGGAGGGAGAGGCTGGGGTCTGCCCAGGGTTCCAGCCTCACAGGCCCCACCTGCCAGATCGGCCTTTTCCCTCACTCCCCCAGCCCAGCCCTTTAGAGAGCTGAATGTGCAAATGGGCTCACTTTTGAGGATTCGGGCGGGCGGCCACCCCAGGGAAGCCTCCCCATCTTTTGACCTCTGTGTGTCTCTTCCCTTGGCTCCCTGACCTGCCCCGCTCGCTCTCCACCCCCCTCTTCCCTCCCTCCACCAGCCACCTGGGCAGAGGGGGCTGCTCAGGCCCCCAGGGAGGCAAGGCGGCCCCCAGCGCTGCAAGCCCTCAGTGGGTCTCCCTGGGAAGTGGCGGCTGGGGAGGAGGTCTGGGTGGAAAAGGGAGTTGGGAAGTTTCCCAGCGTGAGTTGAGCGCTGACGGATTTGTGATCGGCCATAAAACGGGCGCGTTCGGATTCGTAAATCAATCTCGCCTCTCTCTTAGTCTAAACGCTCACTCGTTTATCGGCAGCAAGAAAGCGCCCGGCTCGCGCTCAGGAGCTTGTTTATTTGAACGTGGACATTCCCAGGATCTGAAAAGCGTGGGCATTTTAACAGAGCCCGCCCGGCGTGCCTGCGTCCCATTTTGCTATTCTCTTTCTCCTCCTTGAAAATAATTCGATTTCAGAGATTGCTGTCTTTCCAAGCTCCAGGATATTCATATATTCTCATTCTCTCTCTCTCTCTCTCTCTCTCTCTCTCTCTCTCTCTCTCCCCCCAGACTTGAGTGTTTTCCTTTGGGGTCTACTTTTAATGGACTTGGGGCCAAGATGTGCTGGAGCATCCCAGCCCTTGGAGCTGGGAGCGGGCCCACCTCCACCTCGGGGCAGGCTGAATTCAATACCAGTCTGTGTTTTGTATCTGAACAATCAAAGCCGACCGCCCCCCCCCCCACAGAGTCTGGGCCCGGCCGGCGCCCCCACCCTGTGGGCAGGGGCAGGAGTCTAGTGTCTTGGGCAGGGGTCTCGCTGTGCCGCTTCTAGCTGCCACCTCTGAGGCCGACCCGGAGGTGGCTGTTTTTCTGGCGTTTGTCAAGGCGACCAAGTCCCCAGCCTCCTCCCTCTGTGAGTTGCTTTCTGTTCAGACCCCTCCAAACAAGCCAGGGGAAACCCCTCACCCTCACCCCCACAGAGGTTTGTTCTTGGATTGCCTTGCCTGCCCCAAGGCGGCGGTGGTCCCACAAGCCCACGAGCTGGGATAAGGCGGGAATACGCAGCCAGGGGCTTCCTTCGGAATGTCTTCCAGGAATGTCTTCCAGGAATGTCGCTTCTGCTTCCCTTTGTGCCCCCTCCCCCACCCCACCCCATCCCTGTTCTAACTGGTCAAGTTCGGAGGACTTTGGGTTTTGTTTGGTTACGTTTATATTTGAGGTGGAAGTGTGTGTGTGTGTGTGTGTGTGTGTGTGTGTAGCCCCCTCTCTCTAGGCCTGGAGGGCGGATTCCTCCCATCCCTGATGGTGACCCCTTTCCCAGGCACCCCCTCCAGCTCTTGATCACGAATCAATTTTCTTTGTCTATGGAGTGGAGCTCCGGGCACTCACACCTGGAAGACAGAGACCGGGCTGCGGGCTGCAGGCCGACTTGCAAGCTTTTCCTGCCTTTCCGTACTCCGCAGATCCCCGGCTGTCCTGGCCGGTGTGTTGGGGAAGGGGGAGCCCAGACAGGCTGTGACCGAGCGGGGAGGCTGGGGTCTGCTGCTGCTGTGCAGAAACCTTCGTCCCGGTGGTCTTTGTCTCTGGAGCCAGTGTGCAAAGGGGCAGGAGAATTTGGTTCCCGTGGCGCTTGACAGCGCCACAAGAACAAGTGCCCCTTGTGGTTACTGTCAACTCTGGAGGCTGCGGACTCAGCCGCTCCGGACTCAGCCCTGGCCCTTTCCTGCCCCCTGAGAAGCAGGCGCCTTGCAAGAGCAGAGGGAGAATGCGAGCCAGAAGCCCCGGTTCCGGTTGTTCATCTGTAACAAGGACTTAGCAAGCGTGTCTTTTCAAGAGGGCCCTTTTCAGAATTTTGTTATGAATTTCTGAAGAGGGAGAGTGAAGGGAGGCTAAGGATGGGCCCCCCGGCAGTGGCTGGGAGAGCGGAGTTGGAAGGAAAGGGCAGACGTCCAGGGGCTGGGAGAAGGGCTCCGCGCCCACCCCCACCCCACCCCTAGACGCCCCTGCAGACTCTTCCTGTACCTCCAGGAACTAGGCAGAAGCAGAAGAAGGGGGAGAGGAGAGGAGAGCTGTGGGTAAGCGTGTGGGGGCGGGCTAGGACGCTGTGGCTGCAGCGGGTACCGACTGGAGAGCGGGAGCGACGAGGAGACCAGGAGACCTCACCGCCGCTCCATTGGTGGGCCGGGAGGAACCTATCTTGCAAGAAAATGTCTCTTCCTGAAGGGGAAGGTCATAGTGGTCCTTTGAGCCTGAAATCGAAAGACCCCCTTCCCCCTCCCGGTCACGTGATTCATTAAATAATTAATGCCGAGGTTGCAGAATAGATATGTATTCGTCAGGAAAATCGCAGGCTCGGTCTCCCTGTTTCTGACGTGCAATTCAACTGTCCTTTGAAAAACAAGCCTGTACCCCGAGAAAAAAAAGAGAGAGAGAGAGGGGGAGAGAGAGAGTGAGAGAGGGAGAGGGAGAGAGAGAGAGAGAGAGAGAGAGAGAGAAAGAAAGGGAGACAGCAATAAAACAGCCCCGCAGCCGGAGCCGCACCGCGGGCTGGGGTACTGTAAGTAGAAGGGATTTCTCACTACCTACCGCGTCTTATATGTCCATGTAAATTTATTGTTTGTTATTAATGTTATTGTCGTAAAATGTGACAAATAGCCATCTTCATTTCCTGCCATTTCTCTTCACACGGTGCTCTGTGTTTATAACCATTGAGGCATCGCATAGAAATTTTAGGA